AGAGCAGATGAGCAGAAGAAATCAAAAAGACGAAAAAATCATAATTACGTGGAAATAAGTGCAGCTGCAGCTATAGATCATAAATTCTCCAAATATCTGAAATTTGCGCAGCATTCAACCTTTAAAAATGAACTAGCTCTTTTGAATAGCATCTGGAAGAACATTGCTAGAGCATATATATTATAGTGTCTAAGTAATAAAAACTTGACAATTTTTAATTTTGACGCAGCTTATTGCTATTATCCCCCCCCCCCAATATTTGCCAGTTTTTTAAAATGTGTACATTTGAAACCAAAGAAAATTAAAAAAAAAAAAATAAATAATAATAATAACAATAATTATGTGCTCCATTTACGCTCTGCGGTTGTGTGGATGCATAAGAGTTTAATTGTATTTTTTGTACATTGAAATAAAATAAAATAATAATAATAAAATATCCATAAATTAACTGATTGTGAGCTACTTTTGATCCTTTTTCACAAACACGATTGCAAGCTAAATGAATAAAATCAAGTATCATTTTTAAGTTAACTGCTGCACTGCGGAAAAGCAATTTGAGAATTTCTGTAAATTTATTTTTTAAATTTCACACACATAAGTCAAAGTCGGAATTTTTCTCTGTGGCTTACTTTAAATTTAAAAGTGCTCTTTATTAATTAATAAAAAAATATGCCTCCGCCCAGGGAAAAAAAGTGTGTACATCTCGTGTGTCGTGTCACTGGCGGGTGTTGGCAATTTGCAGGCGTATTGGGCAACTTGCGTGCAGCTCCAGGGTTGCGAGCGAAAAAGAAGCGCGCGCGTTTCGGGCGAGAGCAAGCGAGCGACCCACTCATCAAGCAGGCAGAGGCGAACTTGCGGGAGCGAGCGAGCGAGTGAGTCTGCAGGCTTGGCCCGACATGACGAGCGAGCCGCAGTAATGATTGCCGCAATGTATATGGGCGTTTATCAACACAAAACGCCTACAATACACTTTTAGAGAGGCTGCGCGCCCAAGAAAGAGAGGCTGATAAAAAGGGCCAGAGAAAAGAGCGAGATATATTGTTGAGCCTTGGGCGAGCGTGCACCTTGGTGGCAAAATACTTATCGATTTCTTTACACACAGAGAGAGCTACAAATCGTGATGCCTGGCAAGACTGACGACTGCCGCGCAACAAGCACCATGTTCGTGTATGTGCCCCTTGCATGTGCTCACCTCTCTAACAAACACATACATACATACTTATTCCGCAAAGGCAAAACGCGTGTGTCCTGTTTAATGTAGACAAAGTGGCAAAGTTCGTGTACGAAGGATTATTCAAATTTTATGGAACAAACTGCAAAAATTAAATGCTCCATTGTTGCAGATATTTTATTCCAACTGATCAATATGAACTTTACGTGAAAAGCCAACCAGAAAGTAGGATTTAATTTATTTTTCAGTAAAATTTCAGCAACGCTTGTTTGTGAAAAAAAAATGGGAAAAGATTTCATCAATTTTCTTCAAATTGAAATTTGTTCTACAATAAAGAGAGGTCAGAAAAAATATTTTATCTAAATTTAATTATTCGAATATGCACAAAAATCAAAATTTAGAATCGAAATAAATTTTGAAATTCCAGAAATGCATTAAAGTCTTTGGAACTTTTTCATTGTTCATTGATAATTTTTCTGCACTTAATGATAATGATGTTAATTCATGTATCTGTTGATCTTTTTCCATCAAAATATGAAAAATAACTGGATTTCTTTTTAAACAAATTTAAATTTTGATGTAAGAAAACTTTTAAAATAAATCTTGCACAATTTCATTTCATGGCTTGTTTATAAACAGTGACGAACAAAAAAATCAAGGTATAGTTTTAATTCCCCGAGTGACTCGGAATAACATTAATGCTGAAATTACAAATTGGCTTGGGGCATTGCAGCAGTCGGAGCGACCTTGTTTTTGTCCTTTATTAATACAAACGACTCCTTTCCTCGCCATTTTTAACCCACATTCCAACGTCTGGCCAAAACTTTGATGAATGAGAAGCCGCCATTGGTGGCACTGGGCCAACCTGGACGGCGCTTATTTTTCACCGTTTAACAATGTAAGAGTCATTACTTTCGAAAAGTGATGACTAACTCAACATGCAAAGAGAGCTGGCAAGTTGTGAACGAATAAAAGTCGGCAACTTTATGATAATTTATCACTTTTCCGAGGAATGGCCCCTGCTGAATTGGAGCTAGGCAACACGGCCCGCTGTCGTGCCCTGCCGGTTGCATAAACACGCAAATCGATCTGGCATGGAAAATTCCACCACACCTGTAATATGGCAGTTTACTTAAATGAACACGAGGATTGTCGTAACACAAATTATTTCTATTACTTCAAACGACGTTTAATTTTGTTACCGAAATTGAGGGCTCGCGATCAAAGGACGATAATCGGCCAGTTTCATTCAGGTTCGCTCTGAACGTTGTGGAAAAGCACTCTCAATTGTGTACCTGGAGTAAATTTATAGGTAAATTATTCACTGCCACCATTAGGGCAGTTAACACCACAAAATGTGCGACTACCTCGTTTGTGTGTGTTTTAATAAGAATATATAATAGTGTGCGTGCCAAGCAAAGGTACCAAACTATCGACAAAACGGTGGTGACGCGCGACCATTTCATGCCAAAGAACGCTTATAGAAACTCCAAAAACGATTTATAATTAGACAGATTTAATCAGACAGAGGATAAAAGGGACTGAGCTCGAGCCAACCTCGGCAAAACGGCAGCAGGAGGGAATTAATTGATGCTGCGGTTGGCCAAGTGCAACTCGCTGGTGCAACGTGGCTTACGTGGCCATGGAAATAAATTGCTCTACGAGATGCAAATTAAGGTGGTTGAGCGAATGGTTGGCCAGAGTAGTTTGCACTCGATGAATTTTAATGGCGCCTGCTGCTACGAGACCAAGATTAATTTATTTTATTAGATAGTGAGGCGCAAGGTCTTGTTTCTTAAGTGCACTGCATGCACCGACTGCAGTGCTAAATTTAAGTTGAAAAAACTTTTGCAATAATCTTTTTAATCATACTTTTTGAGGAAAACTTCAGCTTTTTTTAATTTAAAAATAATAAAGTTCAAAGAAATTCTAATTCATCGTTTTTAATATTCTTATATTAATCTAATAAATAAAGATTAAAATTATTACAAATAATTAATTGGGCTTTTGCAGTTTTTGCTTTGGCAGTTTCAGTTATCCAATATGAAAATAGAGACAAATATGCAATTCGCATGCGGTGGTTGGCGGTTGGAAAGAGAAATGCGACACGCACCGTCGATTAGGCAAGTCGCGGCAAGGCCAGGGCATTTTATAAATAAATATTCCGCCAGTTCGCCTTGAGTAGCACGTGTGCACTCATGCATTATTGGTCTGTACGAGTGGGCCTGTAGCCAAATGTGGGTTATGTTTGTTTGTCTGATACCACCCTTTCCTCTGTCATAATAAAATCAAGGTCCTCGCCGGCTGGGTTGCTTCGATTCTGCCGCCTCTGTTTGCGAGGGCCGCATTTAAATTTATTGTTTCTACAGCCGCAGCACAATTTTTTTATTAACTCGCGCCGGCAGCGGGACAAGCAGGCAGGCGCCTTGGTTCTTTCTCGTTCCTCTAGCGCAAAATGGAGGTGGAAAAATAAGGTATTTTTTTAGACAAACAATATTAAAAAAGAAACTTGAAAAATAAATATATTTTTTAAGCAGAGAGATTACATAGTTTGATTATATTGTTTTAAATAATGTCAAAACAAACCAATCTTGATTTAATTTAAAAATAATTAATGCAAAAATTTTAATAGAAAATATTGAAATACCAATATAAAAATTAAAAATGGACTTTTATATCTATTTTAATTGAAAAAAAAAATTTAATTAAAAAAAAATTAGTTTAAAAATTCTCTGCTGAATTTTTTTTACTCAAAATCAATCCATACAACACATTTTAATTAAAACGCTCAATAGGCAATCCTTATAAGCAATTACAAAGAACAGGACCAAGCTTTAAGCAATTGTTACTGGAAAATTAATTTTGCGGGATATTCAGTGCTGGATTCCAGGAAAATTATGCCTGTGGGGCTTCAGATGGTAATGCGGCATCTAAAAGCATTTCTGCTTACTGCTTGATTGAAGTTGCTTCTTGGAAAATTTGCCAATCAGGAAAGGATGAGAGTCGTTCTCTCAGTTGCACAACCTAATGGCGTTTGCATATGTATCAAGAGAGTGCAATAAAAAAGCGGAGGAAAAATACACAAATCGCCGCGAGAGTTGCATCGGCACTTTTGCAGTTCATTAGCAGAAGAGCGGTCACATTAGGTCTCGCGCTCGCGGCCCTTTTGCTCTCCGACATCTCGACGCGCGAGTCTTTTTTCCGCGCGCGCGGCACTCACGGCACTCTCTAATAAAATTGCAAGGTGCAAATATTTGCATGCATACAAAGGTGACGACGAGACGGGGGCATTGTTTCAACACATGACGGAGAATCAAATAAAAAGAGACTTGCAGCTCAGCAGCAGCAACAGAAGTATATTATATCTCTTGACCTAATTTAAAATAAAAACCAAACAAAGAACAGCGCGGCAGCTCAAGAGCACAGAGATAAAAGAATGGATGTGTGCAAGCAAGGCATTCGCTCGGGGCTTGCTTTAAAACGGCATCAAAAGAATCAACAGACAGCCATTAGGCCGTTTTCGAGTTTGGTTGTTTAACCAGGGTGCTCTTTTGCGGCGCGCGGCACAATGGCACGGAAGAAACACACGTTACGTTTTGAAAATATGCATGGCCTTTTATTTTTAGCCTGGATACTGGGCAAGGTGCGGGCGAGGCCCGAAAAGCAAGAATCAACACGAGTATCGCGTTAATCGGCGGCGCAACACTCAGCTTCAATTGTTTTTCAGAGCTGGGGTCCATTGAGAGAATTCACATGAATGGCAAGACCGCCCCGCGCCCGCCCGGCGCCAACTTCCGGTTTGCAAAAATTGATCAGAAATTATACCAACCTTGGTAGCGATTACGAGTTGTGAGTTGCTGAACAGTAAAGGTGCCATTTTGTCCGAGTGTACAGCTCATGGTTGAGATTAATGGTCCACTGATTGCATCAACTGAGTACTCTCCGGCCCTGAAATCGGTCCGTCTCGTTGCTGCGGCCACTCTCCTGGGCAAAATATAGTAGATAACCGCACGGAAAACGGCGCACACTATTTAGGTTTTCTCTTTTCTTCACACCGGTCACGAAATCTATTCGGTTCGTTCCTGTTATAATTTTCTCGACACGCGAATTCGGAGAGCAGCAAACGCAGCGGGGTGCCTATTTTCCTGGGGGGGCGCGCGAGCTGCGATTCACTTCATCATGGGGGCAGAGATTGGCGAATTGGCAGCAACAAGCACCGGCGGTGCACCGAGAGGCGATTGCGAAAAATCCCCTACGAATTCACGCCGCGTTTATAATCCATCGAGGTTGCAACGGGTGGCCGCGCAGCAGATCCATCTCGCCGAGCTTGTGCCGCTCAGGCCCAGAATTTGCAAATCGATGATTCCTCTTCTCTCACACAACAACATACTCCCTTTGTGCTGGTTCGCCGCTGCTGACGCAAAGAATCCGGGCCGGCTAAAACTAAGCGGACGAGACACGAACGGCGCTCAAACTCAGTTCAAACTCGTGCCATTTATCACATATTGCCAGTGCAAACGGGCTGCTTTCCAACTTTCCATAGGTGGATCCTTATATTCCGCTGCGAAATCAACCATCACTGGCTAGAATGAGAACAAGCAGAGGAGAAAACCATAATGCGCGCGCGCAAACCTTTTTAAGAGAAAATCTACTGCTGCTGTTGCTGCTGCTGCTGCCTCGCTCGGCTCTCGCCGCCGCCGCCGCGCCGCTGCTGCCGCCGATGGTAAACTTACTTTTCCTCGCGCAGCACCCCATTTACCCCAAGATATTATTTTTATGAACACACTGGGTTTTCGTTCCACTACTGATAACCGCGCCGAATTTATGTTCTAACATATCAGGATGGCCACGCGCACGCAAAGCAAGGAGAGAAAATTCAATTTCGGCAGCGAATAAAATTTTTACGTGCCGAATTTTATTGTAAAGTAAACTAGTAGTCGTATAAATTTATGCGGCAAGTTGGGTTCATATTAAATCATGGACCAGCACAACGTAATAATTTATATCCACTTCTCTCTCGCTGCAAACTCTTGGGTGATGTCGTAATTATAAAAGTGCAGCGCCAGCAAATTTATTCGAGAGCGAGTGCGTGTGCGGGTCAAGTGCACCGCAAAATGGTACGCCCTAAATCAGCCGAGGGGGTGAAGCTGGTCCCGAGAGAGAGAGAGGGCGGCATTTCTTTTTATTATCATTATTGCCAGGCTGGTCAGCAAAGAGAGAAAGCAACACTCTCTCTCGCGCGCGTTCCGGAGTGAGAGGGGGCGCAACAGCAGTAATTGATAAGGGCCGGACTAGAAACACTAAAATCCATGTTTAGGACTGCATATATCCCGCTCGGTCGGAGGTGGTGCGGGGGGCGCGCAGGAGCGGCGGCTGCGTGGGTGAAGCAACCACCACCCCGTGCACTGCATGAGCACCAGCCGCAGCAGCAGGAAGGAAAGGATACCAATATGGCTGCTATGCGCAAAAAGGGCTATCAAGAAATCGATAGGGGGTGCTCTGTGTGTGTGTGGAATGCTCCGCTGTTCCCAGCAGATTTCCCTCCGCCCCTCTCCACCGACCCTCGCAGCCGCCTCCACCTCCTTCAATATATTCCGCCACCCACGTACCCTGTAATACAGTGACGGGTGAATTATGGTGCCCATCATTTCACCCTCGGACCACTGCGCCGAATTATTTCTTTTAAACAATAAAATGATTTTTTTTTATTTAAAAAGTAAAATGCATATAGTTTTTTGGTAGTCGTTCATGCACTACCCCCTGAGCTGAATGGAGAGAATCCATTTTGACCGGTGTGTTTCACCCTCTCTTGGGGGTGATGAATAGAAGAGGCCTTCGAGCCCCTCACTCAGTTTTGGTAGCCGCCCCGCCGCTGTCTGCACCCCGCTCCGAGCACCAATGAGACAATTATCAAAAATTGATGTCCATTGTTAATACTCCACAATCCGCACCACATAATCTGTTTTCTTTTACGAAAGGGCGAAAATGTCATTTCCGTACGTTACTACTTTTGAATGAAAGCAGTTTACTCATTTTCGCTGCCACGCACAATTTAACTCGCAGAACGCAGAACTGCATGAAATTATTACATGAATTAATAAGATCCTATAGTACTCCTGAAATTATGTCTCTAAAAAATAATTTGACTTATTTAAATTCGTGGTTAAACTTTGCTCTCAATATCAGCCGATCTCTCTATATATTCATGTAAAGGCACAAACAATTATTTTGCAAGAATGAACTGGCTGGCAATGCCTTCTTATTTCTTGCATGCATGCAATGCTGAAGCTGTATAGAGAGAATGGCGCAAAAACTGGAGCACCGTCTGCTTACTCTTTCACATATGTATATGTTCCTGAAGAATCAATTTCCATATATATTCCATCCCTGCTTTCCGTCACAATCTCGACCAAGCTAGACAATGCCGGCCCTCATTGCGCCTGCATTCTCGTCTCGTGCAACTGGTGCATTTTATGTGATGGACGTGTTGCATACATCAGTATCCTGCAGGCGCAATCAAGGACCGCCTCAAAATTCCCTTTGATAATAATAATTTGCCTGAGAGTACCATAAGACAGTGTGACCAAGGAAAACCAGACCAACACTCCGCACTGCAATATGAATGCTTTGATAAGTTCTTCACACTTTTGAAAAATTGTGATTTTTGAAAAACAAAATTTTGTTTAAATTAGAAAAAAAGATTAATAAATTGTGAAAACAAAACAGAATCTTGAAGCCAAAACTCGGATTGTTTATTGGCAAGTCCAGGATCATGGTTAAAAAAAATCAGGTGAATTTTTATTTTTAAATAAATTTTAATCTATCTTGGCATAAACAAAACTTTACGAAAACACTCTTGTTTCAAATTGAGATATTTCTCAAGGTTGTATTTGATAAAGCGCAGCAGAAGTGGGGCTAATACACAAAATTTTCTATTTTACTCCTCATTCAACCCTGAGAGATCAAATAATTTTGATTTAAAAATGAAATATTAAATTTATTCGGTAATGTTATATTTTTAATTAAAATATTCTGCCGTACTTTGTTAATTTATTTCTCATTATGAGTAACCGCTTGGAATTGCCAACACAAATTATAATATGCTTGTAAAAGTCCGCTCTGAGCGCGCAATAAGCGTGTGAATGTGAACTCGCAGACGATTTGCGCCCCATTCAAAAGGTGCAAAGCAAAAAATGCGCTATGATCAACTATGATTTTAATCTGCATTAATTTTTCTTGTTTCTTACAGTCGGTGTGCCAAGCTAAAAAAAAATAATAAATAAACTACTGCTGTAATACTACCTGTAATAAAATAAGGAAATAACATTTCATGAATTTTTGTAAGAAAAATGAAAATGCAGCATTTTCTAAAACATTTGTCGTCGGTTCTTTATTATACAATATTTCTACTGTTATTTGCTGATTATTTGAATCTTTCAATCTATATTTGAGAAGGTCATTTTATTTTGTTAACATTTCTTGTAATCACCATTGAATAGAAAATTTAAATATTTATATTAATATTATATTTTATATATATTTTGAAATAAATTATTATCAACAATATTTCTTTTTTATCAAGCATACAAGTAATAATCAATTAAAATATTATTATATTGGTGATAATAAAAAATGTAAAATATTTAAAATAATAATAAAATACTGATAAAACAATGTCATACTTGTCTTGTTATTTGGCCTGTAAAAAATTATTTTTATTGTGTGGTGGGCGTAAAAGGAAACGGCGGCGCTGAAGTTCTTCAAAGCTGCAAGGATCTGGTTGGTGGTTGGATTTTGACGGACGTAAACAAACACACATTGAATCGAAATTATTTATTATTTTTGATATTAATGATATTATTCAAGGCCTGTAGATTCTGCTGATTGATATTTCATTCATAAGTGTAGCCTGAAAAGCTGAGAGTAAAGGCGAAATGTCTCGAGGTTTGTAAAAATGATATTTCTTTATGTAAATGAAAAATAATTTTTATTGTTCATTTACATAGATTATTGGAATATTTCTATTGTTCATAAATTTTTCTGTTAATATTTTTCATTTGAAGACGTTTCAATATTTTATTTGATGCAGAGCTGTTTGAATTATTTTAATCCTAATTTTTATCTCACATTTTAGCGCTTAAAAATGAAAACGGCCACAGTGTAAGACCTGATCCTAGTGCTCCTGTGTCCAGGAAAGGTGTTCTCACTTCACTAAGAACATCAAAACCGATGCCCATACCCGAGGAGGACACGGTATGCAAATCGAACCACTTCAGAAACATGGCAATTTGAGCCATTTACGATGAAAAGAAAAATTAACGCTTCAAAAATTTCAGTTCGGGAGGTGTCGATTTGTCTCGGAATTTGAGAAGTTAAATCGTATTGGAGAAGGAACGTATGGCGTTGTTTGTAAGATTGATGACCATCGACTTCTTTTTTTAAATATAAATTTATTAATATATAATTTCAGATCGAGCCAGAGACTCCAAAAATGGCCAAATTGTTGCCCTCAAAAAGGTTAGAATGGAGAACGAGAAGGACGGAATTCCAATCAGTGGATTGAGAGAAATTTCAGTTTTAAAACACTGCAAGCATGAAAATATCGTGGAATTGAAAGAAGTTTTAGTCGGTCGCAGCCTCGAGAGCATTTTCCTATCTATGGAATATTGTGAACAGGATTTAGCCAGTTTGTTGGACAACATGTCAAGCGCTTTTTCCGAGTCTCAGGTCAAATGCATCATGCTGCAAGTCTTGAGGGGGATGGAGTATCTGCATGGAAATTACATTATCCACAGAGATCTCAAAGTTTCCAACCTTCTTATGACAGACAAGGGCATAGTAAAAATAGGTGAAATTTTCTACTTGATGTTATTTACAAAACAAACAAAAATTAATTTGAAATTTCAGCTGACTTTGGCCTAGCTAGATTTTTTGGACTGCCTTGGAAACCAATGACCCCAACTGTAGTCACATTGTGGTACCGTGCTCCTGAGCTCCTTTTGCAATCTCCGGTGCAAACAACAGCTGTCGATATGTGGGCGGCTGGATGCATTTTGGGAGAACTTCTCAGCCACAAACCCCTCTTGCCAGGTATACTTAATAAAAAAAAAAAAAAAAAACAGAATTTTGAGAAATTTTCTTAACTCTCGAATCAAAGGCAAGACTGAGATTCAGCAACTTGACATGATCATTGAAATGCTGGGAACCCCCAGCGACAACATCTGGCCCGAGTACTCGTCTCTCCCAGCCGTGCAAAGCTTCACCTTCAAACACCAGCCCTACAACAACCTGAAGCAAAAGTTTTCAACTCTTTCCGCAGCTGGCCTCAGGCTTTTAAACTTCCTCTTCATGTACGACCCAATGAAGAGAGCCACTGCTGAAGAGTGTTTGCAAAGCTCGTATTTTAAGGACGCACCTCTACGTAAGAAAACTACTTGCTTTTTGCAAAATGAAATTCGTTAATTACTTTTGCACATGTAGCTTGTTCTCCATCCATGATGCCAACGTTCCCACAACACAGAAATCTGAAATCGCAGCCCATTGACAATACAAGTAACGAGGGCAGCAATCAACTTTCGTCGAATTTGTCAGATTTGGTGAGAGCTCAAAACTTATTTCAGATGGTTTATAAAAAGACATATTTTTCTTCCACAGCTGGGAAACATTACTAAAAGAAGAAGAGTGTAGTTTAAAATAATAAGCATTGAATTTTGTTTGTGTAAGGTTTTAAATTGCTGACTAAAAAAGAATGCGTAGAAAATTAAGTTTATTGCAAAGCTTTTTTAATTTAAATATCTCCACAAGCGCACATGGTATTTCTTTTTCAGTGGTTGAATATTATGAATTTGCGTGCACGCGTCTTGATGATGCAGCAACATCTCATATAATTATGTCATATTCAAATACATACAATAAATCCAAGCTGGTAATCTATCACAAAAGAGGGCGAGCTTGTTTAAATTCCCCAGCACTAAATCATACAGCAATATTAAATTTTGACCCTTTGCAAATATCTGACAACGTTCCGTATTTATTTACACTGCGTCTGATCCTTGAAATCAACTCATCGGGATAGAAAATTATAATTTAGGTTACGTGAAATTTGTAAATATAATAAGGCAAATGTTGCCGAAAGAACCATCTTCAATCAATTTACGCTGCCCATGACTCAAGTTCCTTCAAATCATCATCCTCTTCAATTTTGGCTTCTAAAAGATAATTCAATCAAAAATTATTATCCAGTAAATTTATAGATGCCTTACTTGGTTTAACCCTCGGGGCAGCTGAAGGCTCTGCGACAGGCACGTTCGGGAGTTCCTCTGGGGCCGGCCCTGCAACTCCAAGCAGCTCTTTGTCGAGCTCTTCCTGTTCCAGCTCTTCGAGTTCCTTTTCCAACTCATCCTTTTAAATAAAGTTATAAAAATGCCCTCTATTTTTAATTTTTTTAAGACCTCATCAATGTCTTGTCCAAAGGCTACTGGGTTTGAAATGGCGTCCGAAATTTCTCTCGCAACGTCTTGTTGTTCGGCAATGTCGTCCATCATATCGTGGACTTGATCAACATCCCTAAATGAACAAAGAGATTATTACTAAATAATTAGACAGATGCCTTAAATTTTACATGTGTTGGTGAGCGTTCTTAAGAGCTTCAGCTGCATTTTTCATGGACTGCAAGACGGCTGTGTTGGTGTTTGCTCCTTCCAAAGCCTCTCGTTGCATCTCGATGGTCGACAAAGTGCCGTCGATTTGTTGCAGTTGCTTCTCATAGCGCTTCTTTCTCTTCAGGGCTTGAATTGCAGCTGTAACAGAAAAGGTATGACCAATTAATACTTTATGATGTAGCGATGACTCATCCCGAGATGTCCCCAAAAAGTAACATTTGGTTGGAGAGAAATGAAAATAATTTTTTTTCTGCAGGTGGGTCAATACAAACCTCTTTTGTTCTTGGTTCCATTTTTCTTGGCAATATCAATTTCCTGGGCAATTTTCTTCTCGAGGAACTCTTCTTTTTTCATCAACATTTCCTCAGTCTCGCGCAATTTCTGAATCGCCTCTCCCGTGGTTGGGGCTTTGTCGCCCTTTTTGCCGCCGAACATTTTCCCTAGAAAACTCATCTTCACGTTTTGCAAACGCCGCGACTGACTTCCGAAAACGCTCAAGCAATTATGTGCGTGTCTGTAATCAATAAGACGAGGCAAATATTTGCATAATTCGATGAATCAACCGCACGATCGGACGTAATCAGATCTCACTGTTCAAAATGTCAGACACAGCTGGCGCACGCTTTCCCTTTGTTTATCGATCGTCTTTTGTTTGGCGCTAAATTTAAAAATGGCTTCCACACGTGGGGTGGCCGCCGACACCTCGTCCTCCGCAGAACCTCTAATTTCAACGGTAAATGGTTTAAACTGAGCCTATTTTGTTTATTAAAGTTAAATTAAGAATTCAAACTCAAAATTAAAATTTGTAGCTCACCGGCGACGAGGACAATGAGACTGACCGTACCTTTGTGTTCTCCAATGAAGGTCACACGCTCGGAAATGCTCTCAGGAGCATTATCGCTAAATAGTAAAAAAAACCTTGATGTTCAAGGAGGCCAGTTTGTAATTAAAACATTTTTTCAGCCCAGACGTCATGTTCTGTGGGTACACAGTTCCACATCCTGCAGAGGCAAAAATGAATCTTCGGATCCAGGCCCTGGACACATCGGCGATAGACATTTTGAGACGGGCGCTCACAGACCTTTCACAAGTTTGTGATCATGTGGAAAAAACATTCATAGTAAATTATTACACTAGTATGTTTATGCTACGGGTTAAAATACGGATTTAATTTTTTTAGGAAAAAGTTGCGGAATTCAAGGAAGCAAATGGAGAGGCTATGGAAATTGGCTAAAATCAGCTAAAATTTAAATTGGTAATTTAATTTGTAAATAAATATGTATAAGCTTGATTAAACTAATATTATTCTATTTTTTTTTTAAATTTCCAACTTTATTAAAACATAAATCCATAATTTATAAATATGCACATTTTCCACTATGAAAAAAAGTTTTTTTTAGAATGTAAAATTACACGATTGTGTTCAGTCCTCCAATTATGATAACATAATTCAACATAATTATAATTTGGAATTAGAAAATAAAAGTTTATAGAAAAACAATGTAATTTTAATGCTATGACTTATGCGGACCAAAAATAAAAGTGAAAGAAAATTTTAGATCGCTCTAGAAAAGTGAAGGAAGGGGTGAAAAGCACAGACACAATGTTGGCAACATGAAAAAGTTGACATTTATAAACATTCCGCTTTAAATGAAATTTATACCAATTTTATAGCACAGATTATTACTTAAAATAATTTTTGTAAAAGAATATTTGACAGATTCTTGACCTTTGTCAATTGTGAATGAAAATCGCACTTATGAATTTTTTTACTTTTTGTGAAGTTGGCTACAGTGAGCTGAACAACAATAATTGAAAAAAGGTGCTCCGCTATCCTGCTGCTGGGAGGCAATTAATAATTCCACTCTTTTCTTTAAGAATTTGAACACTTTGGCTGAAAAACTGCCAATTATGGCTGAGGATAAGATGGAAACGGCGGTTGGCTACGAGTACGATGAGTACAAGGAGTCTTTTCCCTATTCAAGTGCCGTGGAGATTGTCGAAGTCGTCAGCGAGATCGATCTACTCGATGAAGGCAGGGACGCGAAAAAGCCGAATGACCCACGGAGTCGGCTCATGAAAATGCTGGACAACCTTGAAGATGAAGTTGAAGGCTTGAGGAAGAATGCCATGGCCCTCGAGGACAAGAAGGAGACCCTCCTTGGCAACTTGGACATCATTCGTCAATCGCAGGTCGTCGACGTTCTCAACGATGGTAAGAATTTTTGGGACTTTTTTATTTATTTCATTATATTATAACACAAAATTAAGTATGCATTGAAAGCGGGGTGCAACAATAAACCTGTAACAATTAAACCATTCTTTATTTAAAACGCTAATTTTTTTTAATTTTGTGTACATACATAATGCATTTAATCCATGCACACAAATGAAAGTAATGATATATTGATATGCATGTACATATTACATTTGATTTTATTTCTAGGTATTAATTTACAGTCACATTGAATATTTATGTTTTGGATTTAGAGCTTGCATATAATTAAAAGCAAGTCTGACCTGTTTGTCCTCATGTGTTATTTTTCTAGAGTTTTGTAGTTTTGTAATTAAAATTGCATTAATAGCTTTACCTGTGATTCTAGATGAGAAGAAGGAAATTGAAGACTACATAGACATGATTTCTTGCCGCTGCAAGACAGTCCAGATAAAAGTCAACACAATGAGGGACCAGCAGCAAGAGGAGTCTTTACATAATGTAAGGAGCATTGAATTTACATGGCTTGAAATAATAATTCATAAACTCAGGAAAATTCAACCACTTATAAAATGCTGTAATTTTTCCAGGTGAATTCTTTGATTGATTCCATGGTTTTGAACCTGCAGTCTGATCCGCTTGGTACCCGCGGTCGTTGCCTGTCTTACCTGAGCTCTTTCTACCGCTACGAAGACGACAACGAGGTGCTTGTGACCATTGCCTCAAAACTGCAGCCAATGCATGCTGACAAAGGCTTCGAGAATGCTCTCCTGGGTTGCACCCTGGACGACCAGAAATCTGTGAAACGTCGTCTCAGGGGACTTCTCTCTTACATCACCAACTTGTAGACTTCAGCCTATTCCCCGTTGCAGGCTCCTCTGAAGACTGCTTTCATGCAAAACGCTGTTACGTTTATTTTTGTCTCTAACTGTAATTGCCTGAATATGGAACTGAGTTGTAAGTTCAGGCCAAGAACTGAATAATACATTATGATTGACTGAAAAAGTTGCTGATAGCAAAATCCACGCCTATCTTGCTTGAATTTTTTTAATGTGAAATAATAATTTGAAGGATTTTTTGTAAGAGCTATGAAAATATCAAAGCAAGTTGACTGACGGATGAGAAAATTGAATTATTTGCTATCTGTGCACTTTAATTGTATCTCAAGACTCAACCCCAAAAGTTAAATTATTGTATTGCATTAGCTATGAATTTCCCGCAGCCTAAAGTTGCTTATGAAACATTTCAAAATGTCCATGATATATGGAGGGGTCTCAAACATTCTCATGTTGGTGTTCATTTGTGTTTCCTTTTTGAGTTTGTTAAATTTAAAAGTTACGACCAGTTACAATGTATGTAAGATTGAAAATTTTAATTGAGTTCCAAATACTGAAGTTATTCCATTTAACTATCTTCAATAAATCGATGATCAATTTCTTAGTGAATATTTGCAGAATGCAGTTTTTGCTTCAGGCCAGTTTTTTTAAAGATTTGTGTCAAATTGTGTTAATCAATTTGCATGAAGTCGTCTATCAAGCTGAGTGGTTTATTGTATCACCAAAATATTAATTAAAATTGAATTAAATTACAAATTCTATCAAATCTTTCAATTTCTTACAAAGTTAGTTGCTCTCATTAAAATTAGGAAAATGCAAGAGGGTGCAGATTCAAGAGTTACTTCAACACATTTACAACAGGTAAAAACAATGAGCACTATTATAAACAAAAAGTTTCTTCGTATCACACACTCTTGAGCCTTTGTCAAACAAGAAAGCAGACGGCAGACCCAGGCACAACGCACCTCAGTAGAAATTCCTTGTCCATTATTTAAGTTCACTACACGATTGATTTGATTTCTCGAAACGTCATTAGATAATTGAACACGCGCCGCGCAGCATGTTTTTGCCTGGGTGGTGACTGCGGAAAAGTCTTCGGCCTCTGGACTTAATTGCTATTGCTCCATGATGGTGGTGATGGTGTTTGCTACCTTTGTGCAAAGGGGACACGGGCAGGCTGAAGGCACCTGAAGAAAGTGCAGAATAAATTTAATTAAAATTGTAAATGCTTTTCATACACAAGTTTTTTCACATTATTGTATTAATATTTTCAGAACAATCTAGTTGTAAGTGTAAATTAATGGTATTTTTTTCTGGTTACACAGACACCATAATATAAATATAAAGTGTCGCAACTTGCAACCACTCTTATCCAGTGGGCACACATTTGTTAATTCTTGAGATTATACTGGATTAACTCATAATGCGCTACTTACTAATAGCCGGTGGTTGATATCCACCCATTCCCATGGCCTCTTCCTCTGCATGCATTTCTTCGAGGCAACAGGCCGCCAAGTGACGAAAAACAGGACCCACGTTGACATCTTCTTTCACTGATACTCGAAACAGCCGACAGCCCAATGAACGTGCTAGCATTTCAGCTTCCTCCCTGAAATTTTGATTATTTTTTCAGAAAAGCAAATTGACGCAAAAAATTAAAATTAATTTTTTTACTTGAAATAATTGTAACATTAGGTTTTTTTCTTTTCATCTAAAAAATTATAAATATTTTAAATAATTATATTTTAATATCAAGAAAATGTAAATTTAACTCACGGTTCAACGACGCTGTGGTCTGCGAGATCGATTTTATTTTGGACCAGGACCGTCGGTATCTCACCACACTCGTCTTCCACCTGCGAATTTAATTAGTGTTTATCAGTTGGTTTAATCAGCGGACGCGCCCGTGGGAGCACCAGCCTGAGGCCTCCCACGCTCCCAACCATGCAGAAAATAAAAGAGCGCTTAACAAAGGAAGAAGAAAAGGAAGATTTTGTATGGTGTCTTTTTATTTTCATTCTCTTGCTTGGTAATTGAAAACGGGCGCCTCCTCGTGTCGGTCGGACACTTACCTTTTTCTTCCACGACCGGACGGCTTCGAAAGAGTCTCGGTCTGTGGTGGAGAACGCGAGCACGCAGGCTTGAGCCCCGCGGTAGTAAGCTCTGGTGATGGCGTCAAACTCCTCTTGGCCAGCAGTGTCCCAAACCATCAGTCTCACCTCTTCACCTCCAAGTCTGTAAACAATTTGAAAAAATAAGCAAATTTCTATTGAACCAGTATTTAAATTGTGAGGCATTTTCTTAATTTTATTCATTTTTTTTTTTTTTTTGCTTAATCGCCTTGCTCCTCACATTTCAAGATTCTGCATTGAGTTTTAATTGCACCACCCATGTAAACTATACCAAACAAGGCAGTCTATAAATCCAAATACCTATGTAATAAAATCCATTTATGGCATTGCTGCAGGTAGAAATGCCCAAATAGGATAAATAATTATTATAAGATAATTAAATTATTAAAACTCTAAAATTAAAAAGTAGATTTGGAATGTTTAAAATTATGAAAAAGTTATATCAAAATACTCCACTATCGCTCTTATCATAAATTATAAATTTCATGCAAACAAAGTCTTAAAATTAAATTATTAAATTACGCTGACTTGATTATAACATATATTAGTATTAAAAGTTATTTTTATTGCCCAAAACATTTTATTCTTTCTCCAAGAAGTGAGATCAAAGCCCCTTAACTTTTTTATTCTAATGCCTTATTGGTCTTTTGAATACAAATTTTAATACTATTGAATATTCGGCATCGCTGTTGTGATGACTGATCAAAACGACAGAGCGCCAACAAGCAGACGTCATTGAGAATAATAAAATGACCAGCAGTTCGGCCGCAGTTGAAATAAAACGTTTTGTGTTCGCAGCAGTCAAACAACAGAAGTATACATAAAGACGTGCCAGATGGAACGGAAAAACTCGTCTGGTGTGTTCACGTGTCCGAGGCGGAATGATAATATAAGCGAAATAAAAGGTCGAAGAATAAATACTCACGAGATCTGCCTCTCCAAAAAATCGACGCCGATGGTCTTTTTGTAGTCGCGCGTGAAGATTCCTTTGCAGTACCTCTGAATCATGCTTGACTTGCCGACGGCTCCGTTGCCGACGATCACCACCTGGGGACACACAATTCAAATATAGAAAAAAAATCAACTCAAGAGGATATCGGAGAAAAGACAGGAGAAGTGCACGTGCTTTCAGCGAGCAGTCACTTTTGCAAGCACCCGTCCGTTAACTTTGAGCAAATAAATCTGATGACATAAAGCAAGTGCTCAAAATATACCAATACACGGAATGATATATTATGTGCTCATGCGAATTTTCGCTGACTCGGTTCCGCACATTAATTTTCACTCTTCTTGGGAAGATGAACAGTGAAAAATTTCAAGTAAAAGTGCTCACAAAAAAGAGATGGCCAGTGTCGTTGAAGGAAATTAATTTTCCTGAAATGAACATGACGTGGCAAGGACATATGAAGGTAAATGGCAGAAAATTGGCAAAAAATAAAACACCAACAAGAAATATCCTTAAATTTAAATTCAAGCTTGTTCAAAGGAATTTTAAATTTTATTTTTATAGAAAAGATATTTTTTTTTTCAATTTTCAATTGCAAAAATTTTAAAGAATTTCATAAGAGACGAAAGAGTTAATAAATTTCTGGCAATTGAGTTCAAGTCTAATGGTTGTGCAATTCCACTTCATGCTAAGACTTATAAAAAACTTACATCAAAGTTTCAAAATGTAATAGAGAGTTCAAACGATAATAACAACTCTTTGGCATCTCTCATGCTTCAACGTTTCGAGCTTTTTAGACTTAATTCTTCTCGCTACGATCATCTCCCTGTGCCTTTTATAATTGAAAATAACAGAGCGCGCGGCAGCTGTTATTAGCGGGAGTTGGAGAAAAGTGTTCCATCGTGAGCGCCGTCTGAAATTGTATGGAAACAGCCATTGAATTGGAACGGACCTCCGCTCCTTCACAAATTGTCTAAAGTTTCAGTCCACGTTTTATATTATTATATACCGCCGTGATAACAATTAAAAAGCAGTTGTAGGAATGTTGAAACACACAACGTGCTTTTTCCTCGTGAAAAGAAGACTGGTTTTTCTGGAGGAGACAAAGACCTTCTTGCCGAGATCAAAACTCTCCAGCCTGATAATTAAGATCTTTTATCACAAAAACACTGCGACGTTAACGCCGCGGATGGATACACACTTTTGGCGTTTAAAAGAGATGTGTTTTGACCCGCCGTCGAAGGAGAGGCCTTGAAAGCTCCCGTTGTGAAATTTTAACGAACCCGACTCTCAAGAAATTAAAATTTTTGCCCCGCAAAAGCTCGAGAAAGACAGAAAGTGTTTTATATCATGAATAAATTTTACAATTTTATCGATCATTTTGCTTTAAAAGACAGGTCAAGAGAAACTGCTGGGCAAATGAAAATCGAAACCAGTGCTAATAAGAAAGCCCCAATTAAGATAATTAATCCCGGTGCAGTTCTCACCGCAGTCAAACGGCGACATGCATCTCTCACGCTGAATCCCAATTTCACTTAAGGCCCTCATTCTGAGTGCAGTATTGATCATCAAAGTAAACCATCGAGTTGCAAGTTTAATATTTAGAGCACGGAGTTATTCATTTCAGGTTTGACGAGGAGCAGAGTTGTTCTCTGGTAGTCTCGCTTTTGTCTGGTAATTTTTACAGTTCATTTGCTTCCGTTCCGTTTGGCTAACTATTCAAAATGCTAATCATGAGCTGCATGACTTGAAGCACATTAACAGGTTAATCAGACACATTTGAACAAAATTCTTGTGCCGGCGTTAAGAAGAGCAATGAAATGCAAATTTCTCAGAATTTATAGCAATTTAATTCTGAATGCGAAGAGCGCAGAGAGAATTAGTGTTTTTTAACCTTTTTAGACCTTTGGCTGGGCGAGTCAGCGTCCCACGACCATAAGAACAACGTACACGTGAACACGTCTGTGCACAAAATGTTGTACTTATGTAGAAACGCGCGATGCTCAGAGAATAATAAAAGCTCGCTCTTGTGCATGAGCAATAAGTAATTGCTCAGTTGGCTGCTGCGGATATAATATTCTTTACAGCACATGACCGCCGCAGGTGGGACGAAGAGGAAAAGTATTGAACAATCCGTCAACGCATGATATATGTGATAAAAATTCTGCTGGTCCACGATTTGCCTGAACGGAAGTAGTGACTTGCAGGGGCTTTTCTGTTGGACAATAATTTACTAATAATTCGTGAGGTTTTGCAATAAAATAATTCTTTAATTAAAAGGCGTACAAACTTGAAAATGTAAATTTTTCCTTTACAAACAGACACAAAAGGCAAAAACTTTAACACTGAAAAAGAATAAAAATAGAAAATTTGAGCAAGTATTTCAATTTTATATTGAATACAATGCATATTATATAGAAAAACAATTCTTTTAAGCCTTAAGTTATTTTCTTCGTTTCTAACACAATCTCAATAAAGGAAAGATGATTTACATAATTAGATTTTTTTGAACGGCGCCCCTTTAATACTGTTATTTCTTATTAAAAAAAGCCTGATCAAAAATTTTATAATGGATTGAATGCCATTTTTGTGTAATTCGTTTGAAAATTCCAGATATTTTTTAGTGACGAATAGCCTCATTAATATGCATCACTCGCATTGTGCATTTGCATTGTTCGGAAACAAAAAGAGCAGCCGAGTGGCAGTGCAGCTAATTAATCGGGCGTGCCATGAAATATTCAGCAGAGCCGGTGGCTGGAATTTGCGCGTTTTTTATTGGGCGCCTCCATTAAAAAATTTGCATAAAGCGCCTGCACAGTGCTATAAACGGGAGCCCAGGGTTCAATTACACGATCCTGATGATTAAATATAAAAGAGAAGGACTTAGCAAGGACGTGAATGCTAAAAATATTTCAAATTAGTGCATGATATTTACTAATATTGGAATAACGACGGAAAAATTAAATAAAGCCCGTGTTCACTAGACATGCAGATAAAAAAATAATTACTTTTAGGCTTTATGATTGATTCTGAGCACGACTTTGGAAGTTAAATTTGGTTAAGGGAATATATTGATTGAAATATCATGTCTGATCGCTTGATTGTAAAACTGGCTTTACAACTTAGAGTTGCATATTTTCGCAGGTCCATTACATTTTTTGTCAGAACATTTGCAGAGAATTGAGAAATGAGAGAATTTTGATGCATCAAAGAAAATTTAACTTTCGCATGAGAGACTTCACTTGCACGCTCCATTAAATCACCATTTTTATGATCACCGAATTCAATTGCAGTCTGTTCAGGTGAGTGTGCGAAAAATGTATTCAAAGCGGCGAGACTGCAGTAATTCAATTAAATTTGCGCGAGTTTGCAGGTGGCTAATTTTCACTTTTCGCACACGTCATTATCCTCTGCCAAATTGCGAAAGGAAAAATATATGCGTAATTATCCATAGACAGTTACGCGTTCAGACGCTCGAGCAATTTGTCGGCGCTTTATTGCGGAAAGGAAGCGAATTGAACTGTTTCAAATGAAAAAGTCAATCAGTGTGAAACGCAAATTCTTATACATACTCCCTTGTAGTAAAAATGGCACGTCCATTAAAAAGAAACTCTTCTCTCGCCACGGCGAAGCTCAAATAAAAGAGGAGAATCTCATCGGCTGCCGCTGGCCGCCTTCCAAGAAGCAACAAACTTCATTGTGAAGCGACACACATGCATTGAAGAATGGTGCGGTGGAATCATTAAAAGGTCTCTCGAGAAAAATTACCAGGCAGCTTTTCTCAATTTATGTCATTGGAGCAAGAAGCAACATGTTGTGCGCGCTCATTAAACCAAAATAATTACTCGGCCGGACGCGAGTTGCGCGCCTATTGTTTTTGAAAGCAGGGTTTTCAATTTGTAATGAGCCACACATGCAGAAATGCCCCCCAGTAAGAAATTTTTTGTGCACTTATTGGTAAGAGAATGTTCGGAAAGTAAAACAACAGAGTGTTGTCTGAAAATGCAATGCTAGAAAAATGGAAAACTGAAATGTCAAAAATATTTGTTCAGAAAATTGAATATACAAAAATTTTCTTGAAATGTCAGAATATTTTTTACTAAAAAAATTTTTGTCAGAAAAATATTGTACACTTGCACTAGCAATAAGATATATCACACAAATGAAATTGTGTCAGAAAAATCTTTATTGCAAAAATTCATTTTATATAATAACTATTGGGAATTATACGCAAAGTCTGTGTTAGAAATATTATTGTTAATTTCTTATGAATTATGAAATCAAATTTTCCTCAGAATGCCATCCCATCGTTGTAGTAAGATTATTCTTCACAGTATTCTCTACATTATATCCAAAGGGAGAAAGTTAAATATTATCGGAATATTGAATTCCATTTAGAAACTTTTAAAAGCCATGTGCTGTTAAAACTTCCGAAGCATGTTGATAAGAGAAAGGCAAACTATAACAAAAATCAAACTGACTAAACAAGCGTGAAAATGCATGTAAAAACCGCGGTGCACGCAAAAACAAAGCCGGATAACGACTTTTTAAAAATGTTTTCAAGAAAAGAAGGACCGCGCGCCTCTTCATTTCTCCTTTGCCATGAGCAGAAATGGCAGCTGGCAACTGACGGGTTATGTATTCTTTTAATTAAAGCAAAAAGAGATATACACACGCTGGGGATTGAAGCATGAAGTGCGCAGCAGGCTTGACATTAAAACTTATGACGCTAAAAGCACGAAAATTCCTACAAAAAGCTTCGGACGCTCGTGGAAAATACTACTGTGTAATCACGGCAGCGACCGGCCTCTCATCAGGGCGAGTGGCAGACCGTGGAGCAGGCCATTGCCAGAGAAATTAAATCCTCACTTTTGCTCAGACACTGCTTCGAATTTGCTTTCATTAAACCAATATTTATAGTTCACCTTAGAACTTTCTGATTAGGCATTTATATTTGCATAAATAACCAGAGTGGGTCGAACCACTTTGACTGAGCTTGGAAAAAAATGAACGGGTGTCGCACAGAGACTCAAATGGCATCGTGAGATGGCTGATATTCGCTGAAGGACCATTTTTCATCCTGGCCAAGCACATTTGTTACACACCCATTTGCGTCTCGAAAGATTTCATTTTAATTTATATTAAGCTGTGCGGCCGTGCCAACGGTTTGAAATGCAAATGTGCACGGTTGGGCGGAATTGCAAATTGCGTCTGTTTGCAAATATTTGCATGTCTAAATTATCTCTGCCGAGTAAATTTAAATTCTTTTTTGCAGCGCACTTGCAGATTCAAGCAACAGGAAAAATAAATCTGTTTTTCTTTGGAACTCTAATGCTAAGTTAAACGCTATAATTTAACGTCAAAGACTCTCAATTTTAAATATATAGCGTCTGCCATTATCATATAAATGCAAATTTTTTGAGCACCCAAAACTTTTTATTCTTTTTAGCCGTTTTACCAAGGAATAATTCAAATATTAAAACTCAATCATTTTCATCAACAATAAAAATCTGCATTGAAAATTTTCCGCTTAAATTATCAGACGAAATAAACCATAGATATGCTATAAATAACATCAAATTCTGTTTATGAACCAAAATATACATTCCATTGGATTTTTTTTATATCTTACCAAAGATGCTAATTGACGATTTATTTTAAAATCACACTATGAAAATATTTAAACATTTTTTTCTAGGATAAATTACTAAAGGTCATTAACCTGAAATTGGTGCACTTCTTGCTATTAAGAGACACTTCATTTGCACTCGTAGCAATTTCCAACTCATTATCTCACGACACAAAAGAGAAATTTCCTAAGCGCATTTCATCTAAAAAAAAAAAAATGCAGTAGTCATTGAATAGAGAAAAATTTAATTGAATTCTCTGCCCTGCCCATTATCTAGAGAAGAAAGAAACGACTTTAGCAGCCTCAGCTAGTAGCAAAAAACAGCTCTCTGCGAAAGAAGCTATTTTCTAAAGACGGCGGCCAACGTTCCTCTGGGCGCATCAAATTTTTTAATGCCCCCAACTCTATGATAGAGGAATTTTATTATCCTTCATCTCATTCTAAGCTTTTCGCGTCGCATTAAATTCAAAGCCGATTCAAAACAAGACGGCAAAGATGCTTTCATAAATTACGCACCTTGATGGCGACTTCCAGCTCCTCCTCGTACATGATTTATTTATTTTTATTCTCCTTCCTTGGGGTTTCGGCGACCACAAGTGGCTTGCGTGTCGACTACTGATGAATTGGAAGAACTTGTTCAGCTTGATGGTGGCGGCAGCAACTGCAAAAAACAAGAATGGGAGTATTAAAGCACTGATGGATCGTTATTATATTATTGTACGCAAGGGCCGCGCTCATAAAAGCCGTTATTGCGTTATTTTTTGGACCTAACGAAATCAATATTCACCGAGGTTCCGAGAACGAACCGTAACTTTTCAATGGACCACGACCTTGTGCATTTATAATGTTAGTAAAATTATCCTTTCAATGGGAGAGAACGTAAATATTGAAGGTTTAAAGAAAGAACGCTTTGAACGCCTTCAGGTCACTTTTAAAGATACTAATTTAAGCATAAATTATAATTAATTTTACTTCAGAAACCTTCAGATGAATGCTTGATTAGCACTTAGAAAATTTCAGTCTTTATTAAATATAAAAATGTTAAACATTTTGATCCATTGATTATTTTTGAGTGAGTGACAAACATAAATAATTGACCAAATAACTGTTATTAGTTTAATCTTTTTTTTTATTGAACAAGCGTTTAAATTCTTATTTTGCTACAGCATCATTATCATTTCATTTTACAAGGCGGCACGCAATTAATTAATGGCACGTTGGAGCAGCCACGGCATTACTTTTTATCTCCGCAGAGACATACACGTGTGCCTTTGGGTTTTGACAAGCCAATAAAAGGAATTGCGCATACAAATCTCCTATTGGCGCCACGAAGGCGAGGAAAAAATCAAATAAAAATGCCTCTCTCTGCGAGGTACAAATAAGCATGCATATAGCAGTATAATAATATTTTATTTTTACAATAGAGGAGAGTCTGTGAGAAATGGCACACAAAAGCACAATCACGCGCACGTCGCCTCTTCTTCTGCTTATTTTCCATTAATGAAACGTGCGTTGCACCTTTCAGATTTGGCAGACGTATTTTATTATTGTGAGCGAGCTAGCAGTCTTTTGCCTATCGGCATATTTGTTGGTTCCTCTCCGACTGTTAAAAAATTGGATAAAATTAAAAATGTAATATTTTTTTCGGTTCTAATTTTTACATAAAACTTGTTTCAAAAATTATTGAATAGAAATTCAAAATAATGATTACAAATTAAATTTTTTCTCTACATCAAAGAAACATTTGATTAGGGAATTGAACTTTCTAAATAACATTGATTTAGGAATTGAATCAGTTCTTGGAATTTCACTGACTGAATATTATTGGATTATTTGTGTTAGAAATGATCCGGTTATACGAGAGATGCATCAAAACCACCTTTATAGAAGCAGGAAATCAGGGTTTGTGGTTTGTTGGCCTTTTCATGCAGCAGCAAATCGAGACTCTTCGAGTTATGATGCAACTTTCATGCAAGTCTCGGACATCTCTCTCGCTCACTCAGCTGGGATTAATTTTACAGCCCCGACACCATAATTTGCCTGAAGAAAACAAGACTCACTCGCTGCACTTATTATTAAAATCGCATTAAAACGCTATCGAAAGACATCAACGCAGAGAAACTTTATTTTTCTCTCTCGGCGCGGACATATCAAAAAAGTAGAAGTCGCCACCATAAATTCCAAGATGCGAAGCGCGATAAATCTCGCGAGAGAATTTTGTGCCTTCATTTTATGACCCGAGATGTAAAGCGGGCAAAAAACTTGTTTGTTTTATACTCCACGTGCATCACGATTTTTAATGAGCAAGGCAAGGCCTAATTAGAACCTTAAAGAACGTTAAAATAATCAAGGTGATTCTTTTCAATTGAAGATAATAAACTCTACACACTCCATTTGAATTTATATAATAAACTCTTTAAATTTCAAACAGTAACAGTAAATTTCTCTTTTATTTATTTTTCAATCACTTTGAGAGAGCAATAAATTCAACAAGTCATGATGTCAAATTTTGCATACACACGGCGATTTTTCACGCAAAATATGTGCCATAAAAATAATTTCCACCTGCGTGCACCACTCACAGTAATAACTTTTCAATGAAAAGTGCTAATTTTATCATTTTACGAGCATCCTTCTTTTCTTTTCAATTAGCACTCCGCTTCAACTCTCTCATTTATCATTCTGGATTAAAATGAATAGATAATCGTACGTGTCCTCGTATGCAAGGAGCTGAAAGAGTTATTTTATTCAACGCGCCGAGAGAGCTTTTCATAAATAAACCCACATTCGCCGGCAGGTAATGAAGATGACATGTCAGCAGAAAATCAACGTGTACCGTACTCTCGAGACGATAAAGTCCACTTAATTGCCCGTGCAAGGACCGACTACTTATTTATGGGACACTCTTTGCTTTGCTGCGCAGACCTCGATTCGAATAAAAGCGATGCAACTATATGCACTTTTTTGCATACTCAATGAACGTACGTTCGTTTCAAGCAGGTCCAGTTACTCTATAATCAAATAGCAATCTATAGCTAATGGAATATTATAATCAAGCAGTACCACAATTTTAAATCAGCTTGATAAAACACAATAAGTATAATTTGAAATAAAAAAAGGGCAGCTGTGGCTTTTGAAGTCCGTTCAGTTATGGTATTTAATTTTAATGAAAAAATGAAATCTTGAAGTGAACTTGCAGTTTTCATTGCGTAACTGAAGGGATGCAATAAGTATGAGTTAAAGAGATTTATTTTTTGGCTCCAAAATAAGGCCAAATTTTTTAGTTGAAAAAAAGAGGAATAAAAGTTTCTGAAATGAAAAAAAAATTAGAAAGGACTATATTATTATAAAAAAAGGCTAAATTTATTTTAATACAATTTTATTATTAAACTATCTTAATTAAAGAAACAAAATATACATCTCCTCTAAGCGAATTATAATTAAAAGTATGCTTCCACTGACCTTCAAATTTAAACCTTAAATATATTCATGTCCACATTTCTTTCTTTCATTGTCAGGAATTTAATGTAATTTATCATAGTCATGACATTCATAAATTCAAGTTCTATGTATAATACGGTCCCTTTTGAATAAGCTTTCAAAGCAAAATTTTCCATGAATTTGCAGCAGCTAATGCCAATTGAATTGCAAAATGTGCAAAAAGCGTTCGCGTGACACTTTGTGCTAAATAATTAATAACCTCCATGAATTCAGTATTCAGTCCGCGTAAACCAGAAAATATGCAAATGCAATTTTTGAAAACGGAGCGAATTAATAACAATGAAGGCTGCGAATGAATGAGAGACAGGTCATAAAAAAACGACGGTGTGAAAACCTAACTGAACGAAAACAATAAAACCCACGTCTTGGCCGAAAACGATGAAATTATACACTACGCAGTTTTGAAGTAAAATAGAAATACTAAAAAATGAGTGCAGCTCTTTTGACGAAGCTGAGGAAAAACAATTGTGCCGGTGCACGCATATTTTACATGAGCGAGAAACGATCGTGAGTGATTTGAAACCGCCGTTCTCACCTGAAACGTTTTGTGCGATATGCAACAGCAGTTATTACAAACGATTCTCCACAAAAGGCGCAAAAACGGTCACGAGCCATCCCTTCCACGCGCGACAGTGGTTAATGCACTTTTCTTTGAAGCAATTTTCTTTATTTTTACTTCTCGCACACATAAAATTGGCAAAATTTGAAATATTCCCAAAGTATGGGATTTTTTATTTAAATAATATTTTCACGATAAGTTCAAAATAGCCAATTTTATTTTGCAGTTTGCAGTTTAATTTTGAAGAAATTTCATTTCATAATTTTTAGGTTTGGATCAAGAAAAATGTATGTGAACAAAAAAATCAAAATATAGCACGTTGCCTGGCACGAGTCTGGGACGTATTCACTTCATCTGGCGATTCTTTTGAAATAAAGTTGAGCTCACGATTTTTGGAATTTGCATAAACCACGCACGCCTTGCGGGACAAAGAGATTTCCGATTAATTATGCCCGGCGGGAGAACATGAGCTTTTTTTTGAAGAACAAAATAAGGAAAAGGCGCCACCAGATTATTCCCCAAAATTGCTGTGACCCCAATGACTCAATTTGGGGCTTTACACGCTTGGCTTTTGTGTTTTCTTTTTGATAATGGTTGGAATTCTCGGCGGACGCAGTTGAAAAGTGGAGAAGATTTTAATGATGTACTGAGTAGTGTGAGGAGTGAGGAAAGTGTTTTGTCATCTTATGATGGATGGACGAAATCGAGGGAACACACGAAGCCGCCCGCTTTCAATTTTTCTTTGAGTCAAAAGGGCAACAATGATTTGCAAAATTATGCATAGTTCAATTAAGGTGCAAAAATTTGGATGTTTTTATACTACAATGGCCAGAGAGGAATGAATTTTTTGTATTGAATTGGGGAATGGCCTGATACAAACTTACAAGAAATTTAAAATCTTTTAATTGTTAACAATCATTAAAATACTAAAAATTTGTTTGATTTCATTGTGATACAAAAAAATAGCAGTGAAAATTAAATTTGTTCCTGTATGTGTACACAACAAACCAGAAAATATCAACACAAACGCAGATGTATGAATTTTATTCCAGGGAATAAAAGAAAAGCGGTTTTGTAATTTGCTTAACTTCATTATTGATCTTAAAATTCGCGGCGTGCTGTCTTCTCCTATATAAACTCATCTTTTCCCCTCCCCTTGCAAGAGCCTCGGTAGCGCAGTAGGCAGCGCGTAAGTCTCATAATCTTAAGGTCGTGAGTTCGATCCTCACCCGGGGCATATTTTTCATCTTGTAAATTTTTATAAATTGTAAAATTATCAAGAATAGATGCTAATTAAAATTAGGAAAAAAGCGCAATTAGACGGCTGCAAACTAAGTGCATTTTATATCATACTTTGATTTGCAGGTAGTTTTCCGTTCAAAATTTTCTTCCAACACCAATATTTTGTTGGTCCTATTTCCGAAAAAATCATTTGCGATTTTCTGAGAGAAAAAAACTGGAATTGGTATGCTCTCAATATGCTCAATGCCACACTTTCATTCAGAGAAATTAACACGACTCTCATTAAAATCCTTGATTGGAGATTCGGTTTTATAATTAATTAATTAATTGCTTGCTCTTTCCATAAAGCTCTGATTTCCACGATTGCGGTTTTCAATGCGTCCTTGTTTTTGGCACACTTTCTCGGATCAAGTTGAAAAATTAAAATTTTCCACTTCTGTATTGCGAGGCGAGCGTGTTACAAAAGCAGACCGAATTATTTATTATTAAGTTGCACCAGACGTGCAAAGCAGAAGCGAAAGCAGCTTTTTTAGTTCTTTGTTTGTCGGATTTTCAACGCCTTTAGGTGAAGAAAGAAGTCGCCGGGAGACTCGTCCGTTTAATCGGTAAACAAAGTCTCGCATCACTTATTCAAGTGAGAATTTTAACGCCCCGAAACAACATCAGAAAAAAATACAACTCCAAAGGGAAGACAAATAAATTAGCTTCTTATCAAACAATGCAACTATTATAAAATTCTCCTCCATGTCAATTTGAATAAAATTTCAAGTTGATTCATGAAGTTAAATTTTGAAGCAAAATATTGATTAATTAATTAATTATTTAGGACGTTTTTCCTTTTAATTCACATTCAACTTCGACATTCTGTTTGAGGCAATAAATTGTAAAATGTTTCCCTTTCCAATTAAGCAGAGCGACTACCACAGCTAGTAATTAAGTGAAAATCCATAAATACAAATTATGAACCGAGCCAATCAAACGGAATAACAGCTAGGCGAAGATGGATGGATGTACCAAGGTCAGCGTCTCGGATGCACTTGGAGGTTGTTCACCCCCTCGGGAGGTAAATCCCTACTTTGATACGCGCATGTTGTGCGAGTGGAAATATAATTTTCAGCACAACTCTCTTCATCTGGTCGCGCCGCATAATCGAGACCATTTGTATGCGCTCAAAGTTTTTTTAATTGGGACTGCCTGCTTTAATGATAGGGTAATTACGGAATTATGATCGACGCCGTCGCCGCCGCTTCGGGGGAAATCAAATTAATTCATAAAATAAATTTACTCTTGACGGTAAATATTTGAGTTGGAAAAAGTATCAACCTTAAGTGAAAATAATAATTTATCATCTAATTATGGATTCGTGTGTGTTTGATCATTTTGACATCCACCCAATTACAGGAAATTGAATGTGAGAAGATGAGAAAACTGATCCTATTAAAAATTGAGCTTTGTCATGCCACTTTCATATCTCATTAATCAATGTTATTTCTGCTCAATCGGTATTCATTTGTAAACGATTAAAATCACTGTCAAACATTTCACTTGATTAAACTTGCAGAGTTACATAATTTATTCAATTTCTGCCCATATCTTGTTTTTGTAAAAAGTATACAAGATCAACAGTTATGTTAACACTTGATCTCTCTCCTTTCATCGGCAGGATTTATCTCCGCGGGATCTGAATAAATAAATTTGGGTAAAACAAGTTTTTCCTCTAACTGTACAAGCGATTCTCTATGATGGACTATAAGCTGGTTTGCCCTTAAAATATTCTAGTTTCTAAAACAACCTGCCGAACCTGTTGTGGGTACTGCAAATTTAATTTCTACTTAAAGTTCAAAGAGAATTTTTTTCAACAAACAAGAATTCTTTAGGCAAATTTTATACATTTTGAATTAAATTCAAAATTATAATTTGTTTTTATATGAAATTTCAAATACAAGAAGGAGCTTGAATATTTCCATTCTCAACCTTAAGAAAAAGTCAACTTCTAACATTCACAAAAATTATTCCTCCAAAAATTAAGATTAATTCATCAAATTCGGTGTGAATAAAACAAGCGAAATTATTTACCTTCTAGGTGCGATCTCCATTTTTGTTTACAGCCGTTTGGCTCCCCATTGGAAGGTACGAAGCAAAACACCTGTCGTCAAAGACCACCTGACGACCTCACAGCACAAAATTCGCGACAGAACTCGCGCTCGAAAAACCTTTTTGCAAGTTTGCGCGAATATGGATTCGCGGCGCACAGCACAAGAGGAAATTACAAAAACCGTCACTTCGGCAGAGAACTTCTTGTTCAACTCACACGACCGTCTTCTTCATTCTCTCCTCGCTCTGCTTTCCCCTTCCTTTCTCAGGTAAAATTTTTAACTCGCGTCGCAGGCGGCGGGGCAGCGCGTTCTCATAATAAAATTATTCCAAGGCTATTTTACGACGACGACGGGCCGGACGGACGCCGCCGTGCGGAGATAATGAGCGAAAGAAGAGGAAACCACCTGTTGGATGCCATCTTTGAAGACTCACCTTTACTAAAAGCCACAGGTGCAGTCTCAGGTGCCTCGCGTAAGGTGCGCTGCTGTCCAAAGCGTATAAATTTTGCTGCCATAGCCGGCTCCTATTATAACTTGAAAGAAAAGTGAACTCTTTTTTTAAGCACATCTTCCTCTTTTTTCTTTTAAAGTAGCTTTAGAAGTTTACTTTGAAAAATTACAGAAATAAACTTGCAATTTACCAATAAATTTAAATCTCTTCATGTTCGAACATGCAAAAACGAAAGTGATAATTTGGATGTCAACCACACAACTGCACGTGACCAGAAACGCCAATGACGAAAACAATTATGTGTTTTTAAGTTGTTAATTTTGTTTGAGTGTGTTTGTTAAGTTGCATCTTGATTGTGAATTTCAAATATAACGACCTCAGGTCAGGCACTGAGCAAGAAGATACAATGCCTTGAAAATTACGGATTAAAATGCCACCAAACATTTGAACTTTTTAACTTCAATAGCTATATAGACAGTAATTTTCTGAATAAAAATAAATTTCTATTTTCTGCTGTGCATTGATTTTATTATTAAAAATCAAAATGGGGGTTATCGGCAACACCCTACGCTGGAAAAGAAAATTTCTTCTGTTTTGAGGGGGAAAAATGAATATTTTAGTAAGTGTTATTTAAATGCTCATTTTCTCAATTCTGTGAAAAAATTTTCTCTGATATTCAGTGTTTGGTATTTTGGTTTAAAAATATTTCTGTCAACATAAGAAACGGAAGAAACTTTGCAAAAGTTTTAAAAATAAACTTTTAACAAAATACAGTATAATGAATGTGAATTTAATTAATTCAATATTTTAGAAACGTATTAAAAATTTTGCAAAATTATTTTAATTTATTTATTTATCTTTTATTTACAAATTTTTTAAATTTATTTTTATTTTTTTGTACAGCTTGTAGAGACAAAATTATTTTTCTAATTGTCATTTTTTAATACCTTTAATTTTTATCAATAAAGTACCTTCGTCATCAGTAACAAGTAAAAAAGAAGTTCGCTTACGTACAGGAAGTTAGTGTGTTTATGAAATTTTTCATTATAGATTCATAATTAAATTAAACACGAATATTGTGTAATTTTCACTTCAGTATTTATTAAAAAGCTTACTAAAATTAATACTAAACTGAAAATGTTTTACGAATTCGTGATGGGGAAATTATATAATACAGAAACGCAATAATTGTTATCAACTGATCACTATCATTCATAAAATTATTAAACCAGTTATCTTAATGAGTTAAAGATTATTTTTATTATCAATATTAGCGAAGAGTTTAATAGTCAAAAGATCAATCGCCATAGTAGGTCAGCATCTCAAAATCTTTGAAGGAGACACGAGGCGAGACAAAATCCTTCAAAAGCCCCAAGAGACTTTTGAACGTGCGATCATCACGTGCAAACGTGCTTGCCCTTTATCACTAGCGATCGCCGCCGAAAAATAAAAAAAAGTGATTAGTGATTACTGGTTCGGTTGCATCATATGATTGAAATCGGCGTCACTTGGATTAAGAGACATTAATAGGGACATGTGAAATATTATAAAAAATACTGTTCACCTTCAATAAAATTTTCAAGAAAAAAAATTATGGCAAATTTGTGAAAATTGCAAAATGTACGCGTAAAGCTGATTTAAGCTGATATTATACTTTCTCTGTCATTATCAAAATATTGCTCTGTCATCAAGTAAAGTAAATCTCGTTGAGAATTGCAGTTTTTTTTTTTAGATAATTTACAGTCAATTATTACGGATTAAATTCCTTAAATCTCATCTGCCTAAATGGGTTATTTGAGTAATTTTATTTTAGAAGACCCAATTGGATAATATATGAAAATATTAAACCAAACAAGTATGATTTCATTTTTTAATATTTAAGCAAAAAAGCTGGCAAAATTATTAATATATTTTATCCTCGTGTTAAAAAGATCAAGAGTGAATAGGAGGGATATCTGACATTGAGTTTCAAGGGCATTCTACACGAGACGCACATCTCATTTGAAAAAATTGAATTGCTCTAAGCGCCCTTTCCGAACGCGTCGAAAGTGAAATAGAAGCAATTTTAAACAATGACTGCACTTTGCTCACATCAAACAAAGAAGGCAGGGGGCAATTTGTAAGTGCGTCTCAAACATTTAAATAAGCAGAGGGGACTCGATTTTAATATTTGCGTTCTTCCAAATCGTGGCGGACGCCGTGACGCAATTTGTGGCGAGCCGAGGAGTGTGAGAAGCCGAGATACACGAGATTGAAGGCAGTGTGTGTCGCTCGGTCGACTAACGATGGTCATGGAATCGGTCAAGCTGCGGATTCCCCTCGAGGATCTGGGCGCCAATCCGCAGGTGTGGAAACAGGTGCCCGGCTACATCATCAGGAACTGCAGTCCTGACCTCATCGAGTCCGTTGTTTACCACATGACCACCTACTTCATCAACGAGGAGCCGTTCTGCAGGTTGGCTATATTCATTGAACAAACACACGCTCGACCGGCGCAACCTAAATCACATTGCAGGTGCACACGATCGTTACGAGTCGCGTGCACCTTATAAACTTCAATTGCACTGTTAAGTTAATTGAAATGATTGCGGTGCTCCTATTTTATATCATTAAAAGTGAGGTTTTTTAAAAACCAATTTATAAAGAAATTTGCAAATTCTTTATCACCCGTTTAATTAATTTTATTTATTGAAGTATGAATGTTTAATTCAGTTTAATTTTCTGAAATATTTTCACACCCACTAAATTTCTTTTAGTTAGTCCTGTGATACCAAAAGCATGTGGCTGCTCAAACGTAGCGCGCCGGTGACTATAATTAGAGCAGCGTGAAAACAAACTATTTTAATCTGAAAAGGCCCTTCGGTATAGTGTTCTGTAGAAAGAGAGTTTTCTTGAACTTAATTATTTTAATCCGCTTGATATAAATGTTACATATAATAAAATTTAAAAAAAAATCCATTGCAGTAACAGCGAAGTGTCAAGTGACCCGGTTTCCGTGGCTGAAATTGGCGATTGGTGGAGAAATCTACTGAAACAGAATTTGACTTTGATTGCATTGCCAGAGAAATCGGCAGGTGCCGACTGCAAACCCAGTGAGTGTAAAATAGGATATTTGCTCAAATTTTTATTTATATTTTTCATTATAAGATTATTTGCTTTTTCTTGCTTTGCGCAATATAAAAGTCGCACAACAAACATAAATTTTTATCCATATTTAATTATGTCATTTCATTGATTAATTAAATTATATAAATTTAAATTTTGTATTATGGAGCTAAAATTTTTAATGTATAATTTTTTCTACTTAAGTCAACACATGAAGCATTTAATTAAACCCTTGCCTCATGTGATGAATAGAACATAATTATAACTCAAAATTTTCATTTCCTATCTTCATTCCATCACATATTGTAATAAAATTTTATTACAGCGATATTTTGATTCACATTTGAATTGCATTTTCTTTACAATTTAACCTTGTAAAACTATGTACATATTGATTTTTTTTTTGTAAAAAAGTTTATAATGTTTTGAGCTGCGAATTAAAATAATAATGTTTTTCCCCGCATAAAACTTTTTTATGAGAAGTCCTTGAATTCTATACTTGTCTGACATTTAAAAAAATTATAATAAATACAATCACGGTTTTATATACTGCAAACGCAAAAGTTATATATCTGCTTGTCATTGTATATATGTGAAGCGGCGCGCCGCAAAATAAATAAGCTATCCGCATCCTCTCTCACTGCCCGTCTGCTATTTTACGAGAGGCTCGTCTCACTCTTGATCGTCTGTGGGGCGCGAGAGGAAATGTTATTTGAATGTGACCCTCTTAATGACACTAACAAAATCGTGATTACAGTCACCGAGGCGAGAATCCCTCTGGCCGGGGTCAATGTTCTGATGCTGGGTGTAAAAAATGCGCCAAAATCGCCTCCGATTGAGCAGCAATTCACTGGCAAAAACATCATTAGAGCACTCGCACCTTATGCAAAAATCTCTGAAATGGTACTTGAAAATTGGATATAAGTAACAGTTTAAAATGAATAAGTCTTGTGGAAATTAAAAAAAAAAGAGATTTAACTGAATAAAGACATTTAAGCATTTAAGTAAGTTTGCTGGAATCATTTTTTTTAAATATTTATTGTAAAATTATTTTGCGTTATTTTGTTTAATTTAAAAAATAATTAATTAACTATTAAGTCGTGGATTTTGTAATTAAATGGTATTTGTATACAGGTGAACTGCTTCAAAGAGTATAATACAGACATTTATATGGACGCTGCGGGCCTTTCTGTAAGTTTAACTTATAACTCCCTTTGCAATATATAATTAGAATATCATTTTTTTTTTAAATTAATTAAAATTTTATTTGAAACAACTTTTCCTTTCAAAAAACGAAAGAAAGTTTTCTTTTTAACTCCTGTTTTTGTCATTTTAATTATTTTTATTTATAAAAAGACGTATTAATTTTGAAGGTTCACCAAGAGCACCGCGGTCGCAAATTGGGAGAGGCCCTGCTGAAGGCGCGCTTTCAAATGTGCTGGACGCTGGGCATCAGCGTGACAAAGACGGTGTTCACCTCCATCCCGTCGCAAATCACCGCCTTCCGCTGCAACATGGAAAAGGTCAAAGAAATCGAGTACAAAGACATCAAGGACGAGAAGACCGGCGAACCCGCCTACCCTAAGATCGATCCACACAGGACGGTGCACGTCTGCATCCGAGTGCTGCAGGACTCGCTCGGGAACCGCAGTTTCAGCCATTCTGATTCATCCTCCTCCGATTGAACAAATTAAAAGAATTCACGCTACTTCTAATTAAATTATATATATTGGAACTTATAAACTGACATTGTGATTTAGGATGCTTAAAATAAAACGCATTTCTTATTTTTTACATAGAACATGGCTTGCATTTATTTTATATTATATACTAGATGACACAAAATGACTTTTTATTTTTAATTTATATAATAATAATTACAGAGGTGGGATTATAAGGAAAATTTGAAATTTTCTTTGCGTTTTCCAAAGGGTTGATTTTCATGGTAGTGTATTTAACGATTTTTTCACTTTTTTTTCTTCTCTTTTGCGTAAATACATAATAGTTTTCTTAATCATCGTGTTATCTTTTCATTTCAATACACAGACGACACAGTTATTATTTCTTTTTTTAGCAATATGGCATTCATGTTGCGGTAGTAATCCGTTTTTTTAATATTATTCCATAATTATATCCATGACAATCAATATTAAAGTTGCGATCCTTGCTTTGAATCCACTCAATCAGTTATTCCCACTTTCAATAATAATCTACATCAGTAATAATAATAGTCATACAGAGTAATAATTAAGCATCAGTGACTCCACTACTTGCTATTGAAACTTTTTTTCTTTTAATTTGCGACGTGTGTGGTTTTTGATCTAATCAATGTTGGTCGGGCGTGTTATCATTAGCGACGCTCGACAAGCGCGGTGAATCATTTACAATCAATGCTGATGTGTCTCACGTGTACAAATTAATTTTATGTATCATATAAATTCAAACTGCTTGTCTGTCAAATATTCAAAGATGACACAAAACGTTCGGTGTGTGTTTGTGTGGGTACGAAATTCGAGGCTATTTTACTTTAATTAGTTACCGAGAGTAAATGCAGATTACGGACATTGAAAAAATGCCACCTCAAAATAAATGCATGATTTTTGTGTGAGAAAAAAAACGTGTGTGTATGTTTGTGTGTATAATTATGTGTTTGCGCTCTTTTGTGTGTCACGTATTTATAATTACATTTGTCCGTTTCTTGCTCAAGCCAATTGTGCGCTAAGTTTTATTTTCGTTAACTATAAGTAAGTGCATTTTTGTCCACTTTGGACTACATACCTGTGAGGAATTAGTTCGATTTTTGTTCGCAGCTTTTTCTCAAACGCGCTCTTTTTTGCAACAGGCATTAACTTTTTACATCTCTTTTTCTGCATCATCTTTCACTGGAAACACAACGTGCTTAGCTTTTCTGTTTTGTTCATTTGAAAGAGACATAAAAATATGATGATATTTACGAAATACACCATTTGCACAAATCCCAAGCACGCTCGCACTTCTTCTTTTATGGATTTTATTACTACAAAGTTTCTCTAGACTTTTTTAGAACTGACCCAAAAGCAGAGTTTTGATATTATCCCTTAAGTTTGTTACAAGCAATAAATTATAACAAGAGACAGTTTAAGTGTTATTACGAACGAGAGAGAATCGGGTCCCACCTGATCATATCCTGTCGTTAAAGCAGAGTGGTCTAGTTCTTTGAGTTTTTTTTTTTTACAATTACATCTTTCCGTCTAGGACAAACAAAACCAACCAAGAGGTATAACAACTACACTTTTTTTCATACACTATATAAGCCACACTCATCTTCGGAATAATTTCCAAGTGTCCATTTTTCCTCTGTAATTAGCTCTCCTAATATGAACTGTACAATTTTATCTGACAGTAGATAGCATTTCTGACAAAACAATGCGCAAAAACACTGGTCCAGATTTGCAAGGTGGCGAGAATAGTGTGTGTTTGGATGCTAAAGTAGGTCCCAAAACGTGGTTATTACAAGAAAATACATATTTTTTTTTACATGCTTCGGAGAACAAAAGCAAGTTTGTGAATCAGATTTTTATAGTCAGGTAGATCAATTTTCTTGAAGATATGAGTGGCAATTTCGTTTCCTTTTAGCGTCATTTCGTACATTTTTTTGTTTGTTTTGTTTATGTCGTAGTCTACGTGAAGCATGCATTACAAATGGCATAGAACTTAGTAATTCCTATTAAAATCTCTGTGTTTATCACCACAAGCGCGTCAAGCACTGTTCTGTTTCTTCCTTTCTTCGTCTTGCACCACAAACACCTCAAATCTTCTTAAGTTGCTTCACACCTCGTCCAAATATTAATATAAATATTTCAACAATTCCATCAGGAGAGAAAAGCCACAACACACTTATTTTTTCTGTTACTTCCATAATTTTTTTTTTAGTTTGGATTTGGAACAATGTTCTTTGTTTTATAATCTTGCTTGGGATTCAAACTCTCCTTACCCTATTACTTCTTGCTGTGTGAAATGTTCGCACTAGATGAGTAATGTACAGTTTACAAACCTGCTTCTATTGTTTGTTACAGAATAGAAATTTTGTTAAAAATGTCGTTACATCAGAAATCATGTGTGACTGACTAGATCTCATGATAATCAGATTCATTCATTTGGTTCTTTTCCACGTTAATAATCGAGAGATACAGGTCATTGAATACAAATCAACAACAATTAACACCCTCTGGAACATAATGTTTGAGAAAAAGCTCCGGCGGACGGTCACTTTGTGCTTGTTTTTGTGCAACAACCTTGTGCAGGGTTCACATCGTCATTTTCAGATAAATAGATTTGTGCAACAAGGATTCCAATTCAACTTGACCGCCGGTTAAGATCATTATTAATAAATAATTGTGCCCAATAAGACTTAGAGAGTTGTTGCGAGTGAACAAAAAAAATTAACAAAGCATGAGACACAGCTTTGAGTAATTACGCAATTTTGTACTCAAGAAGGAAGATTTGAGAAACAGCGTGATGATTCCAAGCAAATGCTGAATGAGAGTTTAGTTGTGAATTTTGTCATGATCTGTCTGCTGTTACGAGAGATTCAGGAAATTTTCCAATCGAAAGATATATACTTGCTACCGACTAATGAAAGTTTGTGTGTTTTCTTTTTTAAAAAAAACAAGAAGATAAAAAGTTGCTTGCAAAAATCTACGGAGCGCCGATGTCCGAATTTTGCTGCTCGGCGCCTGCTGCTCGTTTTAGTCGTCAGCGACTCACTGATTTTGTAACTCACAAACTTGTGGGCATCCGTAACGCGTAAATATTTTTAATTATTGTTCTAATTTAGCCTAAAAATTTTGGCACGATTTGTGAGCGCCAAATCCAGGATTTTAAAGCCAGTGAGTGAATTTTTTATGATGAATTTGGGCCGTGGAACAAGGCAAGCAAACTTTTCGGTTGACGCAATCTTCCTGATATTTTGAGGCTTCGACGAGTTATAAACTGGTTGATGTGTACATTCAGCTCTCTGGAAAGAAGAAGAGGACGTGTTAATAGCAAAGCTCATTAAGCAGCACTTTGGCGGCAAATTAACGGGCGTCCACACACTGTTAAGTGGCATTAACTCCTTAATTAAGGGCCGTGTTTACTCAATTTCCAGGGACCAACCTTAAAAACGACGGTCTTAGTACAGACCACAGCCACGTAGATTATTGGCTATGATGACATCAGTGACAGCATCAAACACAAACTGAATGTTGTTGGTATCAGTAGCACACGTCATATGGCAGTAGATCTCTTTAGTGGTTGACTTGTTCTTGGCTTCGAATTGCGCCTGGATGTAGGCAGCAGCCTCCCCATACTCTTGGGCCCCTGAAAATGTGATTGGTGAAATTTTCATATCAATTTCTTTAACTCAAAAGTACCTGTGTATTCTGCGAAGCAAATTGTGAGGGGAGACTTGCGAATTTTTTCTTCGAACAAATCCTTCTTATTGAGGAAGAGAATGATCGAAGTATCAGTGAACCACTTATTATTGCAGATGGAGTCAAACAGCTTTAAACTCTCCTGCATACGGTTCTGAAATTAAAAATTCAAGTTAGAAACCATCCAGTTTTTATTCAAGGAGGCAGAGAGAAAAATTGTGCAAAATCCCCGCCCTAGATGTTCATTAAATTAAAAAGTAAATTGCTTGAAAAAAGCCAAGGAATTCCGCGCATATACATAGCTGAGGAAAGTTCCCAGCGGCATGAATTTGCACTGCAGGCTGTGGAAATTCCATTTATTTTAATTACTCCCAGCGCGTGTGGGGCAGACAAAACACAAAAGGCGCTGCCGGCCCCGAGGCTTCATTTCCTCCCTCGCAGCAGGCCGAAAGCTGCGAAATTAGCCGGCCGACCGACCGGAGAGTGCGAGTCCCTCCGCGAGCACCCTTAACCTCCTCCGACACGCGAATTGCGTGAATTGTGGTGACAATGCGTGCGTCGAATGAATGCATTCTGAAATTCATTTTGCTGAAGACTTTAGGGACAAAATCACAAAGCGAGATGGCAGTTATGAATATTTTGGTAAGAGGAGTTTTTTTTTATAATGTACAAATGATTATAATATATTTTTATAAGTGAATATTGAAAGTCCCTCAAATAACCAAATTAAATTAAATGTTAAATTTATAAATTAAAATAACCAGCGGCACGAAAAATATAAATTATTAAATTACTAATTCTTAGTTTATCCTCGACTGGTTAGAAATTGACAGATTTTGTATTATTTAATTTTCAGTAATAGAGCGCAAAATTCAGTTTCACAAGTTTTACTAAAGAATTAATAAAAGCTTTAAATTAAATTAAATATTTGGCATCGAAAAGATGGCTTACAAAAAATTTCTTTACAAGTTATAAAAATGTAATTTTTTTTTTAATCTTATCGGTACAATAATTATTTTTACAACCTCCTTTTAATGAGTTTTAATATTTTTTGGAAGATATTTTTTTGTTTTAATACGTTGTTTTACTTGTTTTCTATTTTTATACACAAATTATTGATGTGTCAGTTTTGAAGTTCACTAGAGGGTGTGTTTATTACACGTATGTACTTTGAGGGGTGCGTGCATTTCAGAGGAAACTGTTGCTCCCCATAGATGTCACCTGTAAGAGGCCGATGCAGTGGTGGTTGCCCGTGGATACGCGGCAAGGGGGTGCGGGTGTGGGAGGGTGGCTGGTCGGACCCCAGCTAAAATCGATCGGCGACGGCGCTGTCGGCGCCGTGCCTTCGCCGAAATGGAGGCGCCCGCTTCCTGCAATGATGGCTGTGGGCCGACCGACGACCGCCCCATTCAAACCACACCCTCTCCGACCGAGTTGCCCCCTTTTCGTCCCCGCGCTCCGGCCTAGGTCACACAATATAACAGCGGACGGATGCCGCCGACGCCACTGGGAATCGTCTTTTGAAATGACGAGAAAAATAAATTTCCCCAAAAAAATCCAAAGTGGGGCAAATGTTGAGGAAAACTGGGCGTGCGATTCGCGTTATTGATTGGCACGGCGAGAGTTTTGATGGGAAAAGGAAGAGCGGATTTGCATCAAGGGCTTTATTGTGTCGAGTTGCACGGTGAAGAGAGCGGCTCAGTGGCGGAGCAGCGCTTCGAGAGCGTCGAGCACGCCGTCTGCATGTCCATCCCTCGCCCACAGACCGAGCTGCCCTTAGGACGAGGGATGATGGATGCCGTTTGATATCAAAAGCACTTCGATTTTCCTGATCCCAAATATGATATAAAACATACATAGGTGAACCGATGTTGAATTTTCTTATGAGGGAAACAACACGACGTGGTTTCGGAATAACAGACCAAAACTTATATGTGTGAAATTAAATATGCAAATCCAAGAATTACAAACCTAGAAAAAAATTGGAAGAATCTAAAATTGAATTTATCAATTTCTAAGGACCACGAAATGATCAAATTCTGTTTTGGTCTCGATGCTAAACCCCAGCAAATGATATGTTCAAGATATGGAAATATTAAAAACCTTCTGTTCTTATGAAAGTAATCAACGGCATTTCTTTTCAATTGCTTTTGATTAATGATGAAGAGAAAATTGGTTCATCTTATTAATTGTGACTTTCAAAACATTTATTACAAGATGCATTTTTATCATCATTTGTTCTAAGGCAATTAAAAGAAACTCAAGGAATGATTTTACGGAAATGTCTACAATGTATGGAGATTTTCCAATGATGTCAATTTTCAACCAAATGAAGAGATTTCCTTTGTTTGGCGTACCTTGACTATCAACAATTCAACGGACTCTTTCTATTTAGAAATGTAACTGGAGTAGTTAAATTTCCTAATATTTTATTTATTTATTGCAATTTATTAATTTTTTTTATTGTTGTATTATTTATTTATAAAAAAACCTTAGAAAAATTATATAGCCATAAATTTATTAAAGATGAAAAGATAGATTCGTAATTAAGATAAAAAAAAATGAGACAAGAAAATGTGTAAAAATTACTTTTGAAGAAAATTTGCACGGAAAATAAAAATTTCACAAGGCTGTTACTTTGCAGACTTTAACTCTTCCAATACGATTCTTCATTTTACGTTAAAACAATAACAATTCTGCCAATTCAGCAATCTGCACAATTTTAGAAGCGTTGGCGGCTTGATTATTTGAATTTCAGAAAATCAGTCTCGCCGTCGTTATTCAGCAAAAGCGGCCGAACAAAAATTACTCTCGTAAAATCAATCGTGGTATACCATATTGAATGCATGGCTAAAAATACACCTCGCGTTCCGTTCGACTCCCTCGCACGCCGCGCGATAAAAATCCAAATGAGCACCGAGTGAACGAAGCACCCAATATCTCACCCGAAGGCCGTCTCCTAATTTTAAACACGCCGTCCGAGTGCAGCGAGAAATATCCGGCCGTGCGACAATAAATCCGCACTTTTAACGGCCAAGACGCGTGCTGCCCGTGTAATGATTTGCGGCAGCTGCAGCGACTTTGGCGGGCCAATTGGCAAATCCGCCGAGCACCATTAGCCCCGTCACAGACCCCGACCCGCTCCGCCGCAAACATCAAATATTCATCTCGCATTCTCGGTCCGCTCAGCAACTTTGCTCTTCACACAATTGGGTTAGAATTTCTGCAAGCGAGTCACATTTTGACATCACCTACGGAGAACAGGTGGGCGGGGTCCGTCGATACATAAATCCCAAAGCAAAAAGCGCAAACAAACTCTGGGAAAAGAATGAATGGGGGTGCTAACTCAGTAAGGAAAAGAATGTTGACAAATCTACGCCGTAAACTATTTTTTTTTATCCCTGTTTTTTTCCATACTTCTGGCCAGACGATATATCTTTTTTATGTATTTCTGCTGACCGAGCAGACCAAATGGAACAATTTTTCTCTCTGCAAATATATAAATATATTTATGAAATTGGTGCTTTATTTACCGTGGTTTCGTCCTCATGGAGAACTTGGTCGTACTCGGACATGGCTACGCAGAAAATGATGGCTGTGACATCTTCGAAACAGTGAATCCACTTCTTGCGCTCTGACCTTTGGCCTCCTACGTCGAACAGCCTGCAAAAAGAAGTACAAAAGGCATTCAATTTCACGGGTACGATTTGACAGGCCGTCTGCCAGACGACGGAGTGTAGCACTTGATAATGCAGAGAAAATTGCAAGCCGGAGACACACAAGTGAAATTGCTTTTCTCTTTTCTCCACCTCGGCAACAATGGAATAATAAATCTAAAATTCATGCATGATAAATATATAGTGGTTTTTACATTCACACTTCATTTAAATAAAATCTTCCCGGCCATTCTCGGCGAGATGTGAATTTATGCTACAATATAATCATTAAAACGTAATAAAAGACCCAAAACACAGTGCAAAAAGTTGATATATATTATCTGTATTCATAGGAATACAAATAGGGAAAAGCGCTTATAACATTAAAATAAATTGAAAATGTCTTTTTTTATAAAGAGAGGCACCAAGTTTAAAAAAAAGATATTATGTAGCTGTTTGACGCAAAAATGTTTGTTAAAAAAGAAAATAATAAAAATAACTATTACAAATAAATGTTATTTGCAAAATAATAGAAAATTGTAATAATTAATTTAAGTTTTATGAAAAATATTAAAAATAATTTATATTACATTCAATGATAACACTGAAGTTGGATTTCATGAAAAATTGAAACCAGGCGAACCTCGGGTTTCAATTTATTATATATTTTTTTTTTTAAATGTTCGAGTTGAAAAATAATTCTATTTCTTGGTTCTTGAAACCTGCTTACAACAAGACACGAACACATTCCCGCTGCCTTAAAAGACATGAAAAATAAATTGCTTTTGATGCACAGGTTAAAAAAAAACTTTCCAAATTTTTGTTTCGCAAAAGAAATGCGAAAACAAGGGCTTGTTTACTTTTTCCCATGTTTCACACAGTTCACTGAAAATTAATAACACCAAATCATTTTCTTGGAGAAGAAGTGCTCGCAAAGAACTTCGCAGAAATGTAAATTTGCCGACGAGAAAAATCCACGATGATTAATAACTTGCTAGGCAAAAAAACTTTTTTCTTTTTCGTCGCTTCTCATCTCTTTCTCGCCGAGGGCAAAATCACTTTTTCACTTGCAAACTAAACCCCTTTTTCGCATGAATAAGTTCCACCTCTTTCAAATTTCCATTTCTCAAACGGAAATTTAAAAACTTCTCTGGACACTTGATGATAAATTTCGCATACTTGCTTAGATACACGTGGCGCGTAATTGACGTTTGTCAAATTAAGCAACACAATGGATGGGTGGCGAGCTCGGTGATTGTCAATTTCGTCTAGCGAGAGAAAGAGAGCTCGATGAATTATGGAGCCAGTTGCGCAACGCGGCCGGGTTCGGTTGCCTGGCAGCACAATATAAAATTACGTACCGCCGCAGAGAAGAAACTTGGCCGGTGAATATTTCATGAGAAATAAAAGGAGCTAGGAAGGTAATGGGCCCAAGTCGTGCTTTGAGCGAAAAGTGGTCTTTTCGCGCGGGGGCGGTGAGGGACACATTCAGCTTTCGCCGCCCGCAATCAACTCGTTTCTTCCACGCTGAATGGGTCGCGAAAATAGATTGATGCGCGCGAATTTTGTTCGGCTTGATTGAAGACCCGCACACATCAAATTGAGATCGATTTAAAGGGATGAAATTTGCCCGCTTCTCGGCGCAACGACTTCTGCGAAATGGGAGAATGGATTGATAGCCGACGTGGAACTTTGTCAAAGTTATGTTTGCCGACGAGAAATAGAGAGAGAGAGAGAGAAACTTGCCAGCGCAGAAACGGCTTCTGCGTTTTATGTTATCTTGGCTAAGAAACGAAAAGACGATCTTTGAAGGTTTATCGAGAAGGGCGGCGGATGGATCAACCTCTTAATAGAATGAATGAATTCATTTGCTACACTTGTTCAGAATATGATTTTCTGCCTCAACTTTTCTTCAATAGTTGAAGTTCAATAATTATTGGATACAATGAAGAAAGTGGATCGCATAATAAATTTTTTATAAAATAACAAACATGGATTTTCTTACATGAGACATAGGACTGATATTGCTTCAGTAGAAATTTTTATAAACTATTTTTGACGTGCATAAAATTTATGAAAAAAAAAATTCATTCATTCATTTTTGTTATAACTGAGCGACCAAACTCTACATCATAAATTTTATTTTTATAAATTTATAAATAAATAATTTTAATTTAAAAATAAAATAAAATTTAAATGCTTTAATCTGAGTAAATGAAAATATAATATTTAAAATATACATTTTTATTTTAAATAATTTAAAATAAAAAGTGTAATTAAATAATGCAAACATTATAATTATTTCAGTATAAGGTATAAGCAAAAATTCCATTTTTAAGCAATTTCACTAGGAAAAGTACTCACTTGAAGTTTAGATTCTTGAAGGAGAAATGGACTTCGACGATACCCGTGGTCTTGACTCGAGTTCTCAAAATGTCCTGCTCTGTGGGTTGGTAGTCTTTGGCGCCAAGTCTGTCCAAGTCGTCCAGGAAACTGGAAAAGACAATATGATTTAGCAATGCAGATCGACGATTGTGGTGTGTGAGGGAAATCGTCACAATACATTTCCGAGAGCAAATTACGATCCGCGAGCAAACTTGCAACAAGCGCTAATAAAACAAACGGCGCGGTGCTTGTAAATAAATTGGTTTCGCGAGCTGCAGGCTATGGGCGCGTAATTTGGATCACGCGGCGGTTTCTGAGGAGAAAATACGCCGGCGGCTCTTTGCAGAAGACGCGGAAAATATATTAAGCAGAGATGAAGGGCAATATTTTCTCAACTGCTATGGAAATAAGTTTTGATGAACAAACTTTCTGACCAAATAAATGCTCAAAATTTTCTCATAATACATTTTCACGGTTCTTGTGGTTTGCTCCAGAACGAGACTTTCTTCTTACATGATTTCGTGTTTTGGTTATAAATGAATGTTCTTTTATTTTCCTGCCAAAATATTTATTCAATTTGATTTTTTTTTCTGTGATTTTATAGTCATTTTAAGAAGCGATAAACATGCAACAATGATTAATGATAATAGGATGATAATAATAATGGAAAATGAATATTTATTTTGAAAGTATTGAAATATTTTGTCTGCATTGAAGTGCAAGGTGTGAGATTCATTATTTAACTTACAATTAATGGAAAATTTTCACGAATAAAAATAAAAGTAAAGGTACAAATTCATTTGCTTATTCCGATTATTATTACCATTTTATAGAAATTTTTGAATAAGTTAAGAAGTAAATCAGCACAATATGCAAGATTGAAAGTGTTACATCCTTATGAGGAAGCCGACGAAAATCAGGAGCTTGTTAGCTTCAAGTTGGTGCACGCGTCCATCAAATATTAATTAAGTCTCGCGGTTGAAGCTCTTTTTTTATCGCACGCAGCAAAGAGGCGAGCGAATTTTCTCCGCTTTTTATCAGCTGCTTCTCCAGCACTCTCTCTCGACGAGCATGCAAAGTCGATACCGATAACGCCGGAACAACATTTTTTATTCCCTCGGCCCGATAGTGTGGAGGAAAAATGCTCTCGTCGGCCCTGCAGCAAGCTGGCGAAAAACAGCACGCTCATCAATAAAGTGCCCTGATTGCGACCAGAAAACTTCTCCTCTTTTTATCCTTCCACTTGATTGCAGTTAAGGCTCGTCGTTTTGCCCACGAGTGCAGACATGTCGTAGATTGGGCCGAAAAACAACCCTTTACCGATCGGTTGATGTATAAGGCGCGCCTCGGGAATTGCCGCGAGCACGCAATTTTTGTGCCGTCCCGGCCCAGGTCGCAGGCACGTACGCCGGCTTCTGTGCGATGATGAATTTAAACCGGGCCTTTTGTATGCGGTGGTCGCCTCTGATGCGACACCCCAATAATAATTACTTTCGGCGCAAAGAAAGGAAATAGTCGGTTGCGCGCTCCACTGCACACGCGCTGCTGTGTTTTTTATCCCGGGCAAAACAATTGGCTTTTTGGTGCCACCCGGGCGCGAAAAAAATGACCACAGCCAACGCCATCCGAATGAAAAATTTGGTGACCTCTTCAATTTCAGTTAAAAAACAGAGAGAAAACTAGTTTTCAATCCTCCTTTTACTTATCTGATAATAAATTGTGACAAGGAAAGTAAATCATTTTTGAAATTGATTTGATGGGCCTTTAAGACTCAAGAGGATGTTCTGAAAGTCTGTGGGTCAAGATCATAAAGTAATTTTTGAAGTTAAATCTTGCACTAAGTTCAAGGAGGAATTTTGTAGAAAAGATAAAACGGTGAAAGGTTAAATTATTGAGAGAGAAAAAAATAAAAAATGAAAGAGGACTTATGTACTTAATTTTATTTTTGAATTGACTTTGCTGCTCTCTATTTAAATGATTTAGCAACAGTTTTTTTCGTCTAAATTATTTTGATTATAAACTCAATGTATATTTGATACTTTCTAAACAATAACCACCTTGAAAAACTAAAAAAAAGAAACACTAAAGTTTCATCAAACGTTTTTTTTTAAATCTTTCAACCAACTTTTTAAATGGCATGAACTTTGAAAGTTCAGAAATAATACCATAGATTACTCCAACATTTAAAGTGGAGTTAGAAGAAAGCCAAGTGCTTCTTGTGGTGGCAAAGTTCAGAGTTGTAGCCATCGACCCACTTATTCAAATCGCAACAGGAGACGCGCTTGTTAGTCAAACTGCATGAGCTGTTCTCTCTCTACGCCAAATCAAGTGCTTGTGCAGCGCTGCATTAATTTGGTTCGCGATTCCATTTTAATTACGTCAAGTCAGAACTGCTTCTTCAAGTGGTGCAGCGAGATTGCTTGGACAGACGGCGCACGTTCATCTTAATAATATGCAGCTCGGTGGTGTGCGTTTGACTGTTCGTCGATGGCGTCACGAGGAAGCACTCGGGCTCCTGTTTCTCGTTACCAGTCTCCTTCATATATGTTTAGAAAAAAAGCATCTCCATATACCGCACGCGGCGCCCGCATTTTGACTTAAACGGCGGATCGATTACACTTTTATTATTATATTGCTGGTGCGAGAGAGATTCTTAAGGGGAATTCGCCAAAGGATTGGCTTCATCTGCTTTCGGATCGCATTTCGTTTCCGCAAAAAGAAGCTCTCCGTGGAGTAGTTTCTTTGAATTCGTTTCATGATTGGGTTTGCGCACGTGGGAGTGATTGGATTGGCGTATACGTACTCATTGTTATATGCGGGACTAATTGCTTTTTGCGACGGAAATCTCGCAGCTTTCCTCAATTGGAATTGTCACTATCAGGTTGCGAGTGGGCGAAAACTTTGCTGAGAGAAGATATCGGTGGGCGGCGAGTTTAAATTGTATTAACAGATATTCCTGCAAATCACCTTTTTTTGGTTTCTCAAACTCAAACCAGTAATTTCATGTAATTTTCAGAAGATGTTATAAATTTAACCCTTTTTCATTCATATACGGACTACTCAAAATAAATAATAGGAGGAGTTGGCCTAACTGAAGTTAAGGCAACAGCCTAAATGAAAGTGTCAGATAGTTGTTAGTGTGCGTGCGTTTTTTCTATTCTAATTAGTGTAGAGTAGTGTCTTTGTTTGTGTTGTAAAGTGTAAAGCAGTTTCACGGTTTATAATTTTTTTAAGAGGTTTTTACGTGGTTTTACTGAAACTGTGCGGGAAAAACTAGGCTTTAAAGAACGGAATACAATCAAAATTTTGACTTTTAATTGTAAAAATTAACTTTTAATTTTAAAAATAATTTTTAAAATGGCTCAAAAATTAATATTTTTGCCAGTTATGTTGCTCTGTTTACGCTAATTTTCCGGGTTTTATTTAATTCATGATTTTTTTTCTCAATATTATTAATTTGAGCCATTTAAAAAAATTAATTTCCCAATTAAAAGTAAAAATTTTGGTTGGTACTGCATCCTTTAAAGCCAAGTTTTTCTCGAACAGTTTCAGTAAAACCACGTAATAACCTCTAAAAAATATATGAAAGTGCTTGGCTAGATAAGAACTTGCTAATCAGATATCTTTAGGCTCATGCAAGAAAATTTACTCTTTTCATAACATTTAGCAGGGAACTTAAGTTTCTTATTACTAATTTTCCCAGCAAACTGGGCTTTCCAATGGTGAAGTCACGTGATTGAGTTGATTTATGATGTTAATTTTCAAGCACACTTTTTAGGAGTGGCACTTAATTTTCTAGACACATTTAAAGAGCTTCAGATTTTCTCCATCTATAAGCTTATTTTTTTGTAATGTTTTTTATATCTTGGATTTCTTCAGAAGTAAAAATAGCATTTTAATTGTCACGGGTTCTTAAATCTTCAGCTCAACAGTTGGATCATTAATAAAACCCTTAATGGAATGAATAGTGAAAACGTCAAGGCCACTGGCGATTAAATCGAGAACATCTCCCTTTCATTACAGCAGACCAAGGACAGGCCGCCCGTAAATTATTCAAAGTGTTACAAACCAAGTCTTTGGCTGTCACAACAAATTCCGATCTACATTCATCAATCCCCCTTGATCAAGCCGATTAATTAAGCGGCGGAGTTTTCTGCATTATTCACGAGACAAATTGGCGCGGGGGAAGCTGCCGGCGTTTTGGAGTCGGTCCAAATTCCGGCGCGCAAAAAGTCGGCCTCATTGATTGCGCTGCCAAGTCAATAAAAGAGGAAGAAAGTACCGAGTGTCGCGAGCAGAAGGATTCTTCTGCCGCCGCCGCGATAACTCACTCTTGTACGTGCCGGTTATTATAACCCATAGACCGGAGATTGCGATTTCGCGCGAACCATTCGCACGCAAGTCATAATATGCACGAATCGATTGGGATAGTCTTCCGCCCAGGCTATTAGTTCAGTTTGTATCGGCCCGAATAATTTACGATCAAAAATAATTCACACGTTCCAACTGTTTGCAGCGGCATTGTCATTATAATGGGCTCGCCGGATGAATTATTACTTGTTAGTTGAGCAAGAGCTTTGAAATTGAAATTTATTGCCACTTCGAGCAGGTCGGACTTGCAAGCAAATACATAATATAAGTCATCCAAAGTTTTCATCAGATATGAAGCGAAGCAACAATTTATGTGCGTGTTTATAATTTAATCGTGGATTTGTAAAGGAAAATAATTAACGCCATTTCCATGAACCCAATTATTTTGGTGGAAATTATACAAAATTAATGCATTTTAAATTTAGTTTTGTAAGCGTTTCACAAAAAGTTGTAATTTTGAGAAAAAATTCCAACAGTAAAATTTAAATTACAAATATAAATCATCATTAAACAATCTTAATTTCATGTATATACGCTTAATTATTTTTGTGTTTTGTCATATAATATGTAAAATATGTTTGAAGAGACAAAAAAAATGGACTCTCCCAGTCCATAATAAGTTTGCTTCAAAACGTATTTAATTGCTGTGTATAGAACCACCACCCGAATACATTTTTTTTTTATCCTTGATCTCCACACATTCAAGCTTTTTCATCGTTCGCATGCAGGACGAATTC